TGCTAGGACTACAATCGGTCATGCTAGACATTCGAGAACGATGAACTAGAGCAGTAGTGAACCTGTAGTACCTATAGTTAGCTAGATGGTAACTTAGATGACTTAGATGGTCATCTAGGAGCTATACTAGACGGCGGTAACGCGGCTCCAGTTTTCAATAAGGTAGAGGCCATTCAGGTTGGAGACTTCATTCAAGTTCGTCCCTGGTCGTAATTGGTACTTGGTAACCGTCGTGGCCGTAATTGGTACTTGGCAACCCACAACTTCAATTGTTATAATTATAATAACGTTAGAGGTGCATTGCGAAGAACCCTCGATGCGTTTTTACATATTTTGAATTTATTGCGCACTGTCGTTTTCTGTATACATTTCATGATTTCAACAACAACAAAATTTTTGAAACATTTCATTTTAAGCATTTTAAACACATAATTTTTTTAATTTACGGAAATTTTAGGCTCCTAGAAAATAATTATCGGCTTCAACAACGTAATTTTTATTTATACTACAGATATTTTTACCTTCGAAAAATTATTTGCAGCTTCAAAACGTAATTTTAAAATTTGAATTATGAGTATCCATCTTCAAAAAGAGTTTTAAAATTTTAAATAAGAACCTTTACAGTTTAAACAAGGACTACTTCATTGTTTTAATCGCTTGTGATAGTAAGTCTCAATGCATGGTAATGGACAACTCGATAGTAATTACGTTCACCACATTTTCATCACTTTTACCTTGAAAATTCCGCAGAGTAACAGATAGAAATAATGGCCAATAGAGGGAAAACAGGAAGAAAATGAAAAACTTTTGAAAAATGTGGCTGCGTACGCGCGAGGTTCGTATCAATGGACGGCTGCAGTTTTTGTGTCTTTCAGCGCTAATCCTGAGTCGAGAACCGCTAGGCAACCGGCTGTGCTGCTGCTGTTGATGCTGTGGTCGCACCGCTGCTGCTGTTGCTGCTGAGCTGCAGCTGCTGTGGCACTGCGGTTACTGCTGCTATGATGCAGCTGTTACTGCGGCTGCGGTGCTGTGGCTGTAGTGCTGCTGCGGCTGCGGTGCTGTGGCTGTAGTGCTGCTGCGGTGCTGTGGCTGTAGTGCTGCTGCTGCTGCGGTGCTGTGGCTGTAGTGCTGCTGCAGCTGCTGTGCTGTGGCTGTAGTGCTGCTTGCTGCAGCTGCGGTGCTGTGGCTGTAGTGCTGCTGCAGCTGCGGTGCTGTGGCTGTAGTGGTGCTGCAGCTGCGGCGCTCTGGCTGTATTGCTGCTGCTGCGGTGCTGTGGTTGTAGTGGTGCTGCAGCAGCGGTGCTGTGGCTGTAGTGCTGCTGCGGTGCTGTGGCTGTAGTGCTGCTGCGGTGCTGTGGTCGTAGTGCTGCTGCAGCTGCTGTGCCGTGGCTGTAGTGCTGTGGCTGTAGTGCTGCTGCTGCTGCGGTGCTGTGGCTGTAGTGCTGCTGCAGCTGCTGTGTTTTGTTCACCGCAGGCGCCTGACCAACCGCATTCCGGAGCGCCGGCCACTCGGTTACCTTCTCCCTAACTCGGTCGAGCCGGTGGCGATAGCACTCAAGTTTCATCTCTATGTAATCAAACTTTTAAACTAAAACTCATCAGCTTTGAAATGCATTAAGATTAAAATTAAAATACCGACTTGTACACCTCAGTATTCATCATAATATATCATACTCACAAACTTGGTCCGAAACATCAGTTTTCGAAAGCCAGCAAAAAATACCTTTTTGATGGGTAAATCGGAAATGGTCTAAACGAGTGATTTACAAAGATCGTGCACAGTGATTACCAGCCGCCGTGAATCACCAGGAACCATCCTACTTCAGTTTATGTGGTAAAAATTTGCGCATTATGTAGGAGGTATGTTAGAAAATACAGTGGCTGCTAAGACAAAGTAGGATGTATGGTAACAGTTGTGAATTAGTGTCAGATTTTCTTGTCTTTGGCTGTAAACTTTGTTTTAATGTAGTAAATAACTTCGCCAAAAAAAATTTCAAAACTTTAAAAGTGTTTGCGTACCAGTACCCCCCACAAGACCCCCCGGAACTGGTAAGATGACCTTACCATACATGGTTTAGGAGCCAATGCTCTGAATGGAATTTTCCACGATGTCTGAGACTCTCAGCTTCTTACTTGTATGACAGTTTCGCCCCTCAATTTTTATTCAGTAGTCACTATCATCCGTGTCCCAAATTGCCTCTCTCTTTGATTATCACACAGTTTTCTTTATAATCCGAGTTTGAGTCTAAATTTTCATCCTGTATCGGTAGTGCGCAGGTGTGCCAAGTCGTAGTCTTACAGCACTCTCGCCTCATGGCACTGACCTACACGCCTTCGTTCTCCCAACCTACACGATCCCAATTCGCCTTTTGTTTTACTTGTTGTAAACTGTAAAGTGTCAGTTTAAATTTACCAATTACCAGCTGCAGTTTAAATTTACCAATTTCATGAACTTTGTAGCAAAACAGTCTTATCCGAGATGAACATTAAAACGATTAAAAGTTTTTTACATTAGCATCGCTTTCTAATCTAAGCGGACGGCGAAATCTTGACTCGAGAGAACACTATCAACTGTTGCCGCCGAAACTCGTATTTAAGCATAACGATTGTAAAACATTACAATAAAGAACCCATTGATGAAATTTAAATTAAATTTGAAAAAAACAACAACTATCCGTTAAGTGTCTAAACAGATTTACAATAAACAAGCCTAACTTACCCCTTTACGCAACCAAATATTCTTGTTGCTTAAATACTGAAAATACCTATGGACTGCAGTTATCGACACAGAAATCGTTAGTAGTTTTCAACCGAACTGCCCTTTCTTGTAATGATAACGATCATATTTTGATCCGATATAAAATCTATGCTCTTCAACGTTAAAGCAAAATTTTAAAGCTGACATATTGCCACTAGGAAGCTTTTATTTCATGATGTCTGATGGTTACTTCTGGACGTTAGCAAAATTCTATAAGGCATCGTGTATCCAGAGAGGTCAAATCTACTTCTCCAACCATCGTCTCCTATACAAGACACCTGCCAACCGTAGAACTTATAATAAGACGTAACGATAATAATGGAACTATTTATCGAACATACGAGCTCAGAAAGGCAGTGCTTTAACCCTAACATCCGTCGGATGCCAAGCCTCTCAAGTGCTAGCCACGTGACGGTCAGATTTAACCTGTTGCCAGATGTTGAATGATAGCGCTAAACACAGGTTGAAAGATGGAGCAGTTGAATTTAGGAAATGACAGTTCAGCATAATCACTGCTGATGTTTTTTTTACAGTCGTAGTTCATGTATGACGTGAGCACCTCTACTAAGAAGTGAATGAGTTTGACTTTTAAAATACATGAATCAGCGGAGGTTATTGGAATTTTTTAGTTTTAACTGAAATAGACGATTGTGATTACATAGCCCGTTTTCAACTGGAATAAATTATTACGAATTAAAAATCTACTGGAGAGACTTGCATTAATGTAAATAAATGCTCAGCTAAAAATCAATTCTCGTTCCTGATCAGAGAAATGCATCATAGCGGTAGCTGATTGACGTCATCAAAGTTCAAGACCGATCGTTAACCAATCGATGGCCAGGGACTCGCCCTTGAATGCACCCAGCACACACGCGTGCTCAAAAAAATACCTCTTGTTTCAATCTACTTTAAGACAGGTAGCCACTAAAAAGAAAGACGAAAGTATAAAAATCGATGAAAAACTCGAGTTTAGTGATACTTTCAGCCATTTTTCAGCGTAGTCAAATGTACATCAAAATGATTTGAGATTCATAGGCATCTAGGTCAGAACATTACGAATATCAGATGGATGAACTAACACACCGCGGTAACGAACATGACCGTTTAGTGGTAACTAAAAAAAAAAAAAGACCGACTGACAGGGAATTAGAGAGCTTACAAGAGCTATTGAAGAATCTAATATATTCTTACCTTGCCATTGACATTACAATCCTGCAATTTAAAAATGAGATATGTGAATAGAGGCTAGGCCGACGCCATGGCTGACTCTGCGCCAAGCGGCAGTTGGCTAGCGGCTGACCTGCTTGCTGGCTGTAGGCGGATGAAGCCGGCATTTTCATCGATGATCTCAAGCTGTGTTATCGTTCACACTATTTGTGATGATGAAGCGCAGGTTATGTGATCATTAATAGCGAAAGTGAAACCAAGTTTTCTTATATTTGACCGGACCCCGTCTGCATCATTTGACCGGCCCCTCAGATGCAGACGTGTTACGAGAGTTATGAATTCAGACTAGGAAATTCGTATTAGAGCAAGTTGCGTATTCGATAACTATTAGTTTCGAACCATGTGCTTATGTCGGAAGAATTTCTACATAACAAGTTTCTGAGATCAACAAAGGTTCAACAATTCCAATCTTTATTTGGAAAATTACTCTACATTTTTTTCGCTGCTGCACACGTGTTTGCATCTCGTACTGGTCGGTATTAATCCTGGCAACCGGTACAATGTTCACTCAAAGGTGACAATCACCTGACTCAGCCGATCACTTTAGAAAAAGTGGAAACTATCGACATTGCACCCAGAGCGGACATTGGCAGCAAGTTTCAAACCTAAAAGCCTGTTTAGGGGTCAAAATGCAGTAAGTCTTGCCACTGGAATCCACGGTAATCATTCGACACCTTGCAAGTTCAATTCAAGACGCCAAAATTTATTCGCAAGGCTCTATTTATGCTAACGCTACTATCATGGAGTCTATTACACCTTTGGGAGAAATATAGGGGGAAGAGACGTTCCAACGTTAACACGTGTCTGCACGAAAACTTATCCGTCGCCGCTAAAAAAGATATTGGGGCACGGTTACCGAAACTCTAGGTCCAGGTATCAACCAGCACTGGCAAACTTTCTCTAACCATTAGTTTGTAAGCGAGCTAGCATCTTACTTACATTCTGTGGCCATCAGCGGAGGCTAAATATGGTGACGGTATATTCAATCTCCGTTGGGTGTTCATTAAAAGTCATTAGAATAATACGAAACGTTTATTACGTTAATTTTATGAAAGCAATTTAGACATTACAATTCATCTTCAATACGGCGAGCTAAGTCTACAAATTCCCAAGATCAAATTGCCAAAAAAATCTTTGAATTCTGAATCCAGAGACCAGTTAAAGTTCCGTAGTGTAAGTACATAAATCATTCAAATGAAGATAACAGGAAAGCTGCAGCTTAAATCTTTCTTGGTTAAAATTCAAATATTAGTTCATGAATGGCCTAAAGAGTGAGCAATGAAAGTCTCCCGTCGAAGAGCTGGTAAAAAAGCATCGTTAGCAAAGTAATAGCCTCATCTGGTACACACCACGGGCGCAATTTAAAGTTGCTTTTAGTTCACGTCCGTACAACCCCTAATCCAGGCGATGTCCAGGCAAACCGGGCATGGTAGGGTTCGACACTTTAGAAATTTGCTGATGTCCCTCCCCATATTCATCCAGCACGAGTAACGGCAATCTAAGCTAGGTAGAATTTAGATATGCCCTACCCTCAAACCTAGACGTGTCCCAAGCTATTATCTATAAAGGTGACCTAGGAACCAAGTCCAGTCGGTAATACAATAATCAAACAAGTCTCCATTATCAGCATGAATTAGTAGGCGTATAACAATTTGAACATCAAAAACGTGGAACATGTTCATGAAGAACTGTAAGAAGTGGACTGTTATTGCCACTCAATGTCAACAATCTCGCAGCGTTACAATCCACGCAATAGTATCCTAAACCTCTACCATATGATATTGACGAGTTAGGACAAGAAGTGATGGTGCACTATCCCACCTAGAGAAAACACTCACGCTAGAATCAGGTCATGCTCCTTAGGTTCGTTAAAAGGGATCTGTTATATCAATATTCAACTATACCGACCGTTTGAGAGGAGTCGAGAATCAAAGTTTCTGGGGAGATGTTCTATTCCAGATGAACATAATGGAGTTCAAAAACACAGCGCCGATGACCGACATTGAGCGGATTACTTTTCACAAAAAAAAAAAACCTGAGAAGCAGTGATCAAACAGCAGGAGAACTGCCATTGTCTGCTGATAAAAGTTCGGTGGCGGTATTAGCAGTGACCCATATAACTGATAATGAATTGTTTTACACGAGGGTTACACAATCTTAAATCTTAGTCTTTACATCAGTTCGCTTCACACTCGTTGCCGTCTTCCGCCTCCGCTTGTGTATCACTGGTCCATAACGTCAAGTTATCTCTCAGCAATTGCATGATTAAGGTGGAATCCTTATAAGAATCTTCATTCAAGGTGTCCAACTCTGCTATAGCATCATCGAATGCCTGTGGGGAGAGTACGGAAAAATTGAGAAAAGGTATTAAACTGCCAGACTTGCGAGTTAGAAGCTACAATATTTGTACAGCTACGGGCTTTTTGTCATAGCTAAGGTATCCTTAAAAAGAAGTGTTAGTCCGTTTCTCTCAAGCTTGCCACACGATTCGGATTAAAACGAGTTAGAAGGGTAAGAACGCTATTATTCTCGACGTCACGTAGGACCGAGATAAGCGATAAGGAAGTTCAACTTCCTGTCTGAACAGAATTAAATTTAGGAATATTTATGGAAGGCTTCCAACAACTGGAATACAAATTCATCTAGGATTGAAAGCTCATCACGATAAGAATTGGATGCAGACGTTTTGAATTATAGGGTGAGAAAGTAAAGCAGCATCACACGGCACACGCCGTTACCTGCTTTGCTAAATGACAGGCTCTATCAGGGGAGTTGAGAATCTCGTAGTAGAAGACAGAAAAGTTGAGGGCAAGACCCAGCCTTATGGGATGGGTCGGTTGCATCTTCGACTTAGCGATGTCAAATGCCTCTTGGTAGGACTTCTGCGAGTCGTCCACGACAACTTGAGAGAAGCGGTCAACACTTGACATTAGATTAAATCACCTTTCAAGAGTAACATTAAAAAAATATTCACCTGTTTAGCAAGTTGACATGCTTTGTCTGGCGAATTCAGAATTTCATAGTAGAAGACTGAGAAGTTAAGGGCTAGTCCCAGCCTGATGGGATGAGTGGGCTGCATTTCAGAGCGAGCAATATCGAAGGCCTCCTGATACGACTTCTGCGAGTCCTCAACAACGCCTGTCATGAGGATGCGCATTAAACAAGAGATCAAAATTACGAGAGAAGCCTTCTCCAGTCGTCGACGGGGACCCTGTTGCTATGGAATTAACGTCAGATGTATAGAACACGTTAAGTTGAAGATGGGGGGGGCAATATATGAAGGAAGGGGGGCAGTGAAACTAAGTTTCAGCAGCTCCGGCATCGTATCTGTTCAAATGACAAAGACGTTTCCGGTGAATGTATTCAGAGTTCTGAATTACGTTAAATAGAAAGCAAGCTAATGCACATTAGGTACATACCTGCTCGGGCATCACCAGTTGCGACCTCGGCGAGGTACCTGTAGTAATCTCCCTTCATCTTCAGGTAGAAGACTTTGGACTCTGGGTTGGAGGCTTTGGGGATGAGGAATTTATCAAGGAGGTTCAAAACGTCTTGACAAATTTCTCTAAGTTCGGTCTCGACCTTCTCTCTGTACTCTTTCGCCATTTGTTGTTTGCGTTCTGAGCCTTCAGTTTTTTGTTCTATCGAAGAAATGACTCTCCAGGAACTTCTTCGGGCACCCACCACATTTTTGTACGCTACTGACAAAAGATTGCGTTCTTCATTCGATAGTTCAACGCCTGCAAATTGAGAAGTTAACCGGTCATTTGTCTGCAAAAAATTAGATAATATACTCAATACGAATAACATTAAAACTGAACAATGCCGAAGTTATACTTATACCGACACGCAAATGAAGTTCAGCAAATTCATGATACTCTAAAACTTATCATAACCAATATTTTAGGATCAGTGAAGTTTTTACCATGTTAATTGTGACTTTCTTATCACAAAAATTCATACAGAATTAAATTTTCCACCGACGTGTTGTGTAGATTATTCAACTAATTTTATTAGATTTATTCATTTGAACGGTCATTACATGCCGTTCAGAGAACGTCAGAAAACCTGGAACTTTATCACATACCAGTCTCTGTGACTTGTTTCATGGCAGCAGCCATGTCATCGTATCGCTCAGCCTGCTCGGCGAGCTTAGCTCTCTGAACTTGTTCGTCTTTGTCAGCCATTTCTGAAAGACAAGAATTTGACATGCGTGAGTACAGAACACAAGTTAAATTCTAGTTTAAACCAAGCTCGGTCATCAACTGACTTTATAACAAATTAACATTGTATATGAAGACCCTGCAGGGACTGTTACAGGCAGAACACTAGATGTGTCTTAACTACCGAGCTGATCACAACCCTCTATTCAGCCTCGGCTTCAAATACGACATTTAGAAACTTGACAACACGACTTCACACGATGCATGAAATGATTTTCTATGGCAAGCTCCAAGTTCAGCCTCTAACCTCATCTAGCTAAACAATGAAGAAGCTCAAGAATTGCATGAAATTAATGCTTCTAAATTTTTACTATACTGTAATGGGCAATTGTGGACATGGTTCTTGCTCAAAGAACATGACGTTTGTGGTCCTAATATTCAAACCAAATTCATAGAAAACTTAGACCTGTGTATATATAAATCTTGCAACGGATATTTAGGTAATTTCTTTTCCCAAAGGCAGAACCTACATTATATGGGAGAAAATAGGGAAAAACCAGTTGAGAAGACGCATGCTATATTATTAGCGCAACTATATCAAATTTTAGAATAAGGCTTTAAAACAAATCCAAACATTCATCTAGTTGCATCATTCAGCAGACTTGTATTGGGACTTCTGGAATAATTTTACCACCCAACTGCAATATCACTAGGCTTACTTCTAGAAGGCCCTGTATTCACAACAGCTGACAAAAAACTCCAAATTAACACACCCCTTAAAATAAAATAAAAAAACATAAAAAAGACACAGCCAGTATTGTAAGCAGTTCCACACCTCTTGCTGAATTTTATTGAACCTCGTTTATATTAGTATGAAAGTTTCATTTTCCGTTCACTCTACTCTACAGCTTTTATTATTCCATAGGAGATTTTCAACCCATGAATTTATAGATCCCTTCAAATTCCATAAGTAACAAGTATGGCAACACTAGCAAAGCAACCCCCTGATATGGAGAACAGCAATAGTCTATTTTCAAACTAATTATTCAATATTCTAAGCTGATCAAGATGATTGACCTCAATTTAGCCTTTACTGGAACAATTCCAACATTTAAAAAGCACATGTCAAAAGAAAATTTCATCTATTTTTTTTCCTCCCATGTGACAATCATTTCATCATAAGACAGAATGACAGTCATTTCATTCCAGGAAAATAAGCAGAAGTACAACATATACTGGGTTCCTCTCATATATATTCTATTTGACCATTTCCTTGAAAAACTGAAAACAGTCAAGTTAGTTGCAATTTAGGCAACTACAAGTTGTGATCAAGTTTATAAAGGAGAGATGCTGATTACAAGTTGACCAGTAAGGACCCAAATGGCAAGTTGAAATTGTTCCAGTCGTGCAGTATGGCAAAATTTCAAAATTGGTCGTCTTGTGCAGTATGGATCTTGCCAAGATCCCTACTTCATCTTGCTGTATAGGTGCCCATAAAATTGTTCAAACTGGAAGAAATATTTTGCAGCCACCAAGTGTTTAAGCAATTAAAACTTCTATTCTGAGTCTTGAGCTTCTGAAAAGATTCATCAGATCTCATAATTACTAACCAAAATATGCTTTCTTTCATGGATATAACACTGTTGAAATGAATAGCCTGCTGAAAAATCAAGCCCCTGCAACCAAGGTGACTATTCAACCCTGTCCATGCGGCTTTCTAATTATAGTTTAATCTTTCTCACATGTGACAACTTTCATAAGCCTTGCAATGCTCTGGAAAGTCAATAATGCAGACCAGTTTGACCTAAGATCTACAAATAGTTTAGTCTGATTTAGCTTGACCAATATGGAAAGACAATCAATAGGAATCCACACAATGTGTGACAGTGCTGGAAAAGTCCTAATTTTGTTTTAAATATTGCGGTGCTAAAATTATAATTTCAGTAGGTCTGAAATCTTGTGGCTCGAATGTTAAATTTTTGTTTGATTGAAAAATTGTGGTTTGCACTTAGCAAACATGTCACTTCATAAAATTTTCAACTTCCACAATCTGCATTGCTTAACTTTTCCTGCCAAAATATCCTGCAGAAAAAACAAACATTGTATAGTAAACAAATCAACTAAACGTTTTGTTGTGTAATAAACTGCAACTGGATCTTTAACTCTAGCTGCTCCACTCTAAATACAAACTGTTCATTAAATAGGGTGCAATATCAAAAGAGTTATATTCCTAGATCTCTAGAAGACTTAGGCTAGTAAATTCATCTGTTCATGTATAAGATTACTTATCCCTAATTTCAGTTCGATATCATTCAATTGGGTGAGAAACGAGGTTGTAGGCCTAACAAAATTGTAGCAACTTTGTTGACTAAACTGGGGGCTATCAAGTTACTTCAAGTAATTCAAGTAAGTAAGCATAAGGTACTAAGAGGGTCAAATATCAGCCAGGTTCAAGTGCCTGCATAACATTTGATGCAACTCAGCACAATAGTTGTACATGCTCCAATATATATGGAAGATTTAATCTGCATACTACCTACCTCAGAAAAATCTAAATTTTATGGAATCTTCAACTCAGCACAAGTCCTGACAATCTATAGTAGAAAAGAAAGTACTAGTTCATTCACATTACAATTCCGTTATAATGAAATTTGTTAAAATTCCTGAATTTCAACAAGATTTAATCACTCAAATGGATCAAACAGTAAATTCAATCTCATGGAATCCATGCCTTTTAGCAAGTGTCATGAGGCCTAATTGAGAGAGAAGTTTAGAATCAGCAGAAGGCTTCTGTCACCATGGATGAGACAAAACTGCCCATGAATTCCACTAAATTCACCCATTCCAACGGCCATAAAATTCTTTCAGTAGAACGCATGGACTAGCCTAACTGCCTATTATCCGAGCTTAAAATTCATCCAATTTACACTACAATCATTTATAACCAATCTTTGGGAAAATTTGGCTCAATATTCTGAAACAATCGGTTAAAATGCTCAACATTCAGCAATTCCTGAACTAGATCAAGTTATGTAGCTAAAAACCAGTAGCCTGGGCCCTGGTGACGCCAGGTCGCCAGCCACGTTCAGTTGTAGATGGTAGCTACACCCAATTTCATATTAGGAGAGTTCAGATGCAGATATGTAAATACCCGATACCAAGGCAGTCATCGTGCGTGATCAACTTCGCTAAATGCTTCATTTGCATGCGCAATAATGAATGCAACATGCAATAGGACCAGGGCACAAAAGTTATCCGAAACTCTACACGAATGATAAAGTAAATAGGTAGTAAATACTACCACCTTTCACTCTGCTCATATGAACGAGACCGATATGCGCAGCTATACATGCATGTCTCGTAACGCGCAAGCGTTCAAGGCGCGGCCGGAGCGTTGCCTCTCAAACGACCTCCCCACCGCATGCCGGCCGGCGCATTCCAACATGGCTGCCATTGGACAAGATGGCGCCTTACTCCACATTCCTACGACGTCAGTATCTACACGGACTACACCATCTACCAAAATATATTTCCAGAAGTTTCACATCCACAGCCTTGAATAGCGTGTTAAGGTCTACTAGACGAATTAGCCAAGGAGGCTCAACTATTCTAAGTAAATTTTCTTCGGCCACCTAAATTGTGCGACGTAATACCGCCCACACCAGTCACCTTTCATAGGAGAAAAACTGACAGGTGCATAACTTTATTCATAATAGAAACGTGGGCCCTAACGATCCACCTCACTCACCAGTATTTTCTTATGATGCTAGTGATGAATAATCCAAGAAGGGCGGGTTTGCACTCGAATTATGAGTTTATAATAGGCTCACTTGGAACACACTGCTCACACCACGATATCTTCTCGCCAACTGACTGTCTGGTATCTGCAAGAGCTACGGGGCGCTCCCCGCCCGTGTTCAGTCAAATGAGAGACTGAAAAACGAATTTCATTTATTATATCTTAGGTCTAAAATTAGAATACTCTTTTTTTCCAGCTAATAGGTCCAATATGATCAATTAAGAATTATGAATTTTATAATATTCGATTTATTACTGATTTGCAAATCCCCTTGTTCCAGTAATTTTAATATGAGAAAGTTGGAAATTTACTCAGTGTTGCACGTGGAAATGTAATCCAATCTGCATTCTATATATAAAAATTCGTTATAATAATATTTGAAAATAATATCAAACATTCACGACTCATAAATAGTTTCCGTTTCAAAATTTAAGTCTTTTGAATGCTTATCTTTCTAGGTTTAGGCGTTGTTTCAGAGCATGATAATATTTGGTCCCACTCATAATAGAATGGCAAGGGCAATGTCACAACATGATTGAAATTCAACTGGAATCTTGGACCATTTGATATGAATGAATTGCCTAACTGCATTTATGCAAGCGTATGCGTCTCAACCATTATTTCCTCCAGTTCGGTTTTTAATTTTAGTTTATTTACATCATCAAACGTAAACATTAGAAAATAAGACCAATATTATATTTCCATTGAGGAAATACGGTTTTTACCGCTCTATTTCCAGTCATGTAAAACGAACGCTCCCCCTTTTTAGATGAAATGCCGTACTGTTAATGTTAACTTGCACCAACAAAATAAGCATGGAAATTTGAATTATACAGTAATAGAATAGAAGTGTCGGCACTGAATAAATAGGCCCATGGCCTGTTGCCGATTCACAAATTTTTCGTGACTTGATTCACAAGGGATCCGGCCTTTGGAACCCGATCTTTCCATAACTGACGATTGATTGAGATAGCTGCTGGACTTTTTATTGCCTGGTCCGTAATTTGCTAGGCATTTCAAGACTGAACATATGCTCCTGCATAGTTTCGTCTAGTCTGTTCTTGAAGGCGTTCATACTCGGAGCGTCAACGATGCTAACGTGGAGGCTGTTCCACATGTCGGTGACTCGAAGCGAGAAGAAACGTTGTCGCATGGATGTGTTCCAACGCAGTTTTTTTAGTTTATAGCGTGGCCCCTGGTGTTGGTTCTTGTTTCAAATTCTAGTAATCCTGAGACCTTGTATAAGCCATGAGTATACTTGTATGCTTCAATGAGGTCCCCACGCAGACGTCGATAACTGAGGTTTGGAAGCTTCATAATCTTTAATCATTCCTCACAGGACTTGTCTTTCTGTCCCGGAATTATCCTTCTTTGCACGTCATTGAACATTTTCTATTAAATTTTTGTCCTTTTCAAGTTTCGGTGACCACACGACGTTTCCAAACTAGGTTCAGTCGCACGACTGCAACAAACAACTGCTTCATCGCTTCTGCATCTAGGTACCCGAAAGAGGGTCTGATCAGTGCAAGTCGTTCATTGGCTTTTTTAACTTGACCTTCAATATGTTTAAAAAATTTCAACTTATTGTCGATATTAACTCCTAAATCTTTTTTCATTGTCAACTCTGACATCATCACTCTGTCGTTGCAACCGTGTCTTCTAGTACTGTAATCTTGCTGTTCATTACCCTTGCCATAAACATATAATGATATACATATACATTGCCTATTTTAATATACTGACAGACGATCGATGATAAAATGCACTGATAGCTGGAGTAATTTGGAATCCAAGACTTGGGTACACCATCCCAAATAATGATTAAAAATATAATGAAATAACCATTTGCTCCATTTTGTTCCCAGGAGATAATTATCTTTCAATAACCTGCACAGAATTAGGATTACCGATTGAGAACCTCGGACAGTCTTACTTCTTAACGGAATTATATATAGTATCACTTGAATATTGTTAATATAAATAGTTTTAATAGATAATATTTTGTCGTGAGCGCCAACTTCACGACATATCTGCTTACAAATTTATACATCAATTAATATTAGATGTCAGAACTTGCTTGTTTATTAACCTGTGATTAATGATCATGGAATTAAATTTTCAATTAAATTTTCAAATTAAATTTTCGAATTAAATTTTCAAGGAGTTGCACAATTCTTTTTTATGCATCAATATGTCTCATGTTAGAGATAGGCTCATGGATGATTTACGCGCTCCCTGCAATACTTGTATCAAAACCTTCTTCCTATCATAAATAGGATCAGTTCACACTTATTGTTTGTTTTTAACAGTTGTTTTTTGAGTTGCCGGGTTGATTTTGGTAATAAGAAATTGTTTCATATATTAATTTCGCCTTCTTCTTCCTAAAAATATGCGCATCTTTACATCAATCAAACATTCAACTTAGGAAATTCACCAATCAAACTTTATATCAATCACCGTTAAGCCTTTACATCAATCACTCATGCTTTAGGTTAGGTCGGTCGTTATTTTTTATAGCTTCTTTAGCTTTTTAGCGTTATTTTTTTATAGCTTCTTTTTATAGCTTTAGACTGCTCATTGTTCATGGGATTTTCCGATCACTTACGTCAGTTGACTCATGCATGATCTCACGTGGTCGTGAATGGTCGAATGGTTGAACTAATACATTAGTTGATAAGGCAGTCTAATTGATAAACGAACATTAGAAAGGGCAGTAACCATCTCCCAATTTTACGTCAGCTGGTAAGAAAAACTTAGGAGAAGACACGGTGGAGAAAATTTTTGTATTTTGCCCAAGGCGACCCACGAATTTTAAACATTAGAGTTGGAATTCAGTGAAAATCTGAAATTCTAAGTTTTTTTTCTGTTAAAATTACGGTAGAAATTATATTCATTTGATATGGCAATCGAACACAGTCGAGAATTTTTTGCGTTTATCTGTGAATGTTTGAAGTTTATGGAGTAAACTTTTTATGAGAAGACTCTGCGGTAAAATGTGTACACGCTCAATTTCCACAACCTTTTTTTTTTACCGATTTTCGTAGGAATAGTTTAGGTTTCTCTCTTTATGCGGTGAAAATGCCATAAATCTTACGGTAAAAATCATCACGAAACTTTAAACGTTTTACTATAAAATTTCAGATTAATCTGAATAGTGTATCATAGATCCGAGAAAAATTGTGTATTGGTCATTTTTTTAACTATCCATTAGGTTAAATACTCTTCGGTTGACGCTACGTTATAGTGGCTATATAACATAACATATCATAGTGATGTCGGCACTGAAGAGTAGGCCTGATATGGCCTGTCGCCGATTATTGTACTTTTCGTGACTTGTTCACAGAAAATCCAAAAGCATGTCCTTTGGCCGGAATTTTTCAGGACTGGCGATAGTTTCAAATAGCTACTAGACTTCCACCGCATTCGATATGGTGCTAAGCATTTCAAGTCTGAACATATATATTTCCATAGCTTTTAGGTCTGAAAATATATTTTTCAATTGCTTTATCTAGTCTGTTCTTGAATGCGTTTATACTCGATCGGAGCGTCAACGATGTAATCTGGGAGGCTGTTCCACATGTCACTGATGTCAGTTGTGGCACAGCCTCCCCGCGTGGATGAGAAATGTTGTCGCGTGGATGAGTTGCAACGCAGTTTTTTAGTTTGTAGTCGTGGCCCCATGGTGTTGGTTCTTGATATTATTTGATTGATTGATATTGCACTCTTCCTAGTGTCTAGATGCAGAAGCGATGAAGCTACTGTTTATCGCTCGCGTTCGCCCACCCTTAAAGTTTGTAAACGACTTGTGGTCGCCGAAACTTGAAAAGGGCAAAACTTTAGTCGAGAATGTGCTAACCATGGTTGAACTAGTTCAACCATGGTGCTAAGGACGATTAGCGATTACGAAGCTTCCACGTCTTTATTATTGACGTCTGAGTGCAGAGACCCCATCGAAATATATTCATAGTTTATACAAGATTTCAGAAGGTTTACTAGGATATGGAACAATAACAAAACACCTGAGGGCACGGCTATAAAAAAAAAAAAAATGTGGAGCAACTCATCCATACAACACTTTTTCTCGCTTCGAGTCACCGACATGTGGAATAAACTCCCTGCTTACACAAATGCGTACAAGAACGAACTAAGTAAAGCTACGAAGGAGTAGAGTAGAGATTTAGACCAGAAGTGCGTCGGATCTCACAAATTGGTGGATGTTCAACAGCTACTTAGCTACAAAGTCAGTTTTGGATAGTTCTGGTCGACAGGCCAGTCCTCGGATCTCCATGAGACAAGTCAAGAGCATTATAAGACCCGGTGACATGCCAGACATGTGTCGCCTGCCGAAGACCACCACAGCCTTGGATGTAATGGACCATCATGATTCCTGCCTTCCGGAACGTAGCCTTCAACACTTCAAGCCGTCCGTATCTAGTCCGTGGGTCGAACCAGCCATCGGTCGAACGGCCACTTGTCGATGGACGATAAATTTTGGAACAGAACTATGCTATCTGAAACCTAACCTCAGATGCGGTGAACGAAAAATTACGTAATTTAACGATGCCCGGAAGTCAGTTTCGATCCGCGGCCTGCTGGTGCACGGCAGGTTCTATGCGAGGCCGGAGGACGACAAAGCCAAATGGTTCACGGCTGATTGGTGGATGTCCGGAGAGATCCAAGGCGTTCGATTCAGGGCATATTGGTGCACAAAATTGGTGGTGCACGGTTGCGCTCCCGACGCGGCCCACCTGAACCCAGCAGCCTATTGTTAAATTCAAACCATACACTGAAATCATGAGCTGCTTATTAGTAAATTCCTTTCGCCCGCAGCATTTTACGGATCATTTTTTCATAAATTTACATGTTGAAAGGTCGTTCTTTTGCGCTGGCAGACTGTAGAAAGATAATACTCTAAAACCGCACCATGATGCTAAAGTGAGGATTGGGGAACGACTTGCGGCTGGTGGGAGCGCAGCCGTGCACCACCAATTTTGTGCACCACCAATTTTGTGCACCAATAAGCCCTGAATCGAACGCCTTGGATCTCTCCGGACCTACACCAATCAGCCGTGCACCACTCGGCTTTGTACTCTTCCGGCCCTGACCACCACCTGCCGTGCACCACCAGGCCGCGGATCGAATATGACTTCCAGGCATCGTAAAATTACGTAATTTTTCGTTCACCGCATCTGAGGTTAGGTTTCAGATAGCATAGTTCTGTTCCAAAATTTATCGTCCATCGACAAGTTGCCGTTCGACCGATGGCTGGTTCTACCCACGGCCTAGATACGGACGGCTTGAAGTGTTGAAAGCTACGTTCCGGAAGGCGGGAATCAAGATGGTCCATTACATCCAGCCATGATCCAGGGCAGTGGTGGTCCCTAGAATACCGTAGGTACTACCGCGGAGTTGCGAATTTTACGAGACCCTGTCAACTTAAGTGTCAAGGACTGAGAGACTGAGACGGTAGACGAATATGTGATTGTGAACGGTGAGCTCCATCTCTGTAGAAATTCGTATAATGTTTTATAATCGCATTTAAATTTTTAGTATTTGAATCAATTACTATTGTTATGGGCAAATCAGCACGCGTCTGATAAAAAGAAGGAAATATTTCTTGCTCTTGGTCTTCCCAGTGAAGTTCCCACTCCTCTGCTACAAACCTACAAATACAATAATCTAGCCTCTGCTACAATAATTTGTTCCCTCAGCTGTGGTAGCCTGGTAGGGTGTGAGGCAGTGAGGGCGAGGCTGGGCGACTTCTGAACACCCTTTCTTTTAGATTTTTAGATGTCCCCCAAAGTCCAAACAAAGAAATTGCAAATGCTCAAATCAGGTGACCTTGCAGGCCACTGTAAATCACCCTTCACTTTCAGAGTCTGGGAACATGCGTTTCAAAACATTGAGTGACATTTGGGCTGTGTTTGCTGTTGCCCCATCCTGCTGGAACCACACGTCTCCCAGACCCAATGCTTCATTTTCAACTATGTTTTCCATCAAGGGCTGCAAGAAATTTTGCAACATTGCAGCATAGCGATCGGAATTCACTGTTACGGCTACTTCCTCCTCTGAAAACGACTCCAAGTCTCCAACAGTGTATTGCAGCTAATGGCCCCATCTTCCAGATATTGTTTTCAAAATATAAGTATTCTAAATGGTATGTTATGTTAACCTCTAGGAAAATAAAGGTATTATTGGCTTTATTGCAGATTAACTACATCCAAAAAAAGGGTGTTTTTTTTTTGAATTATATGTTTTTTGGGGTGTAGATTACGAATCTGAAATCCATTTTTGGCGGTCGGCATCGGAAAACCGATTTTTTTCGCGACTTACTAATGAATAGACTTATCAATAATTGTTTACCCAAAAATCCCTAAGTGGTAAACACCACCTTGGCCTGTTGGCCATTATTGAAGGCAATAAGTGCCCTTTTTAGCCATCCATTATGATCCACATACTGTTATTGTTAGTAGGCTAATTGCAACATATGAAATAACACTTCAAAAAGACAAAAAAGCTGAAAAAATGAAATAAAATCAAATAAATAAAAAATCATGAAAAAATAAAAAAAATCATTGATTTTGATTTTTTTTTATTAAAAAAAAAAATAAAAAAATCACCAACCCTGACCAGCAATGATGAAATGTCACAAACTGTTTCCATATTTATTTAAAAGCCTTTAGAATTCAAATCTACAAAATCGCTGAATTCCGATGCTGAGTGTGACTAAATTTGGCATATTGTGAGACTAATTCCAACGTCACTGAAATGTGCTGTGTGATGTCTGTAGACTTGAGGACTGTGTTACATAGGGTACTGTATCTTTGTCACTTGCTCTCCTGTCGTGCACTAAAGCCAATTCCCGCATTTCGTTCACTTATAGGGCATCAAGAGTCGAGTCTAGAAAAACCTCCCATACCCATCTACTCACCCACCCGCAGACATATGTACTCGACAAGCAAAATCATATGTCAACACTATCACAATAGCTTGTGCTGAAAACACTTTAGGTTGCTCCTGGTAAATCTACAAGTACATTAATGACCAGCTACACTGAGGAGCACCAATATAGATCAAACATCACATTAAACAAACCCTGATGCAGCAAATACACAAAACAAAAATATTTGGGGTCACCTACAACACCTCCATGACTTTTGGCCCTCACATCAACAACATAGTGAGCAATGCAAACGTCACTCAACTCACTTTGGTCCCTAGGCAGTACCAAATTTGGCAAAGACAAAGAAATACTAGCACCCACATACAAACAATTTATCAGAACAGCGCCAGCATATGCCAGCCTGGCCTGGGTACCTGCACTATCCAACACCATCATGCAGAAACTTCAAACATTACAAAACAAAGCACTCAGGATAGTCATAGGCTACACACAAAGCACCCCCATCAAACACCTTCATGCTGCAATGAAAATACTAATCATAAAAGCACACCTTGACAGCAGAGGAACACAGTTCATAGCTGCAGCCATAAACAACACAGATCACCCATGCCACTACCTGAATGATCACCCGCCTACACACAGACAAATAGTGCAAACCCTACATAGATACTACACCAACATACTAAACACAGTACCCCCACCCCAAGGCAACACCCACACAAAAAACACACACACACAATTATGACACAGAGAATGCTGGAGCTGGCTGGCAACAACAAAGTCCTTGGTTACCCACCACCTGACATAGGCAGCACAGAAACCCAGCTCTCTAGACTGGAGAGAGTACACCTAGCCAGGCTGGGTGGCAGCCACCACCCCTCAGTACAAACATATGCAAACAGAATTGGTCAAGCAGACTTGGACACCTGTCCATCCTGCCAGGGAGCTCCCCACACAATTACACACGTTCTTCTGGAATGTCCGCTCTGACCGGATTTCAGACAACACCACCACACAACCTCAGCCCTACAGCTCTGGAGCGACCCCCTGTTGGTGGTGTTGTACTTGCATGGAGGGAGGTCTCTTGTAAAAGTGAGACCTGGGAACCACAACAGCAACAACAGTCATGAAAACCTTGTGACAAACAAAGTGGTACCAGAATTATCATACACAAGATATTGGTTTAAATCTTGATTAGATGAGGAAATTAAAAATGAACTGATATTTAAAAAACCTCTGGTTTGCCACAATGCTCCTCAGAAGATAAATGAAAGTTCTAGAACTGTTAGTCTAGCTTCACCTACTAACATGCACAACATAGAACTCTGAATATGCTGAACTTGTCATAATTCCCAATAGTTGAAAATGTGGGTCATCATTTGTCTCCCTAAATGCTATACTGCGATGAACAAATATATTTATACTGCATTTAATGCAATGAATGAGATCATACGTCATAACATGTCCAGTGTTCTGTACTATTAATTATTTTGATTACATTTACCAGAGAAAAATATGAACATTGTTCTATTTTTAAAAATTTTCTTCTTGATTTAATAGATTATATATATGGAAAATTATGCATACTCATAATACATATGAAAAGCCTAATTTCAGTTTTCTTTCAGTGGTCAAGATGTTGAAGAAAAAAGCCACCAAGAGTTTTGCTGATGCTCTCTTATCTGCTGATGTAGATGTTGAATTGCCATCTAAGCCAAAGAAATTCAAGCCTAAGTTAAGTACGGCATGTCAGGCAGCAAGAAATAAAGAAACTGTCCCAAACAAAGGGTTGAGTCAAAAATCCTTTCCACAAAGCAGACCTGATAGAAAAAGTTTTCCTAATAAGGGAAACGTAAATGTAGACAAGAATAGGAGGAATTCTGTTCCAAGTCAAGCAGAGAATTGTACTGCACATTCAAGCTCACAAAAAACTAAATCAGAGATTGCCTTCTCAAAACCATTTAAGTGTCCTTATAGTGCAAACTTCAGAAAAATACAGGACAGTGACAGTGAATCAGAAGACTTTGAAAATTCTAGCAAAGTTGAGGAAAGTCATTTTGTGTCAAATCGTCAAATCGGCAAAGCTGACAAAAGAGTAAAAAAATTATTGGCTGAAGACAAAGAACAGGAAGACAAAGCAAAGATTTTGCTTGCAGTTGATGAAGAACTAATGATATTTGACCTTCAGTTGGAAGGTGAGCCTGGCAGCTCTGCAGTTAAAAGTGTAACTTTTATTTATTAAAGAATCCAGGCATTGCAGAGGCTATTTATTACCTTCAATCAAGTGAATGTCTATATATATAATATACACATCTAAAATTGGTGTGATTTGGCAGGAGCTTTTCTTTTATGCAAGTATGCATCATCATTATTAATAAAAAGCATGCTGTGGTCTTCAATCAAACTTGCATATGCACCTAAATATACAAGTGGTTAACGACCAGAGAATTCATTGATTTGAATTTTCAGGAACAAACAATAGGTATTCTTCATATGATGTTGGTTGATCAAAATGCAGGTTTGAGGAAGTAGTTTGATTTATTATCAACGTTTCAAATGTGACGACATTCATTTTCAAGTTATAGGGAGCATTGAATACTGAAATTTAGGTGGGAATATGTACATGATCATAATCATACATAAAATTTCAATGCCTAAATTTCAGTATTCAATGCTTCATATAACTTGAAAATGAATGTTGTCACATTTGAACTGTTATTAATGAATCAAATTACTTTTGTGAACCTGCATTTTGATAAAAACGTCACCTGAAGAATATTGTTTGTTCCTGAAAATTTAAATCAATGAATTCTCTGGTTATTAACCACCCATGTTTAAACAAGCTTATTCTGCTATCTTATACTTTATCTATAGTATATAATAGTATATAATAATAGAACCTAAATATACATATTTATATTATATGGATGAAATAAATCTGTTGGGGCTGGATTTATACGTGTTTATTAAACTCTTACTTTGAATTATTTACTCGAAAAAGTAGTATTCAAGAGAGTTTGATGCCAAGATGTTTATTTTTTGCAGATGAAATGCAAGCAGAACTTGAAGAACCCAAATCCATTCATATAACTGTGCTGCCATCAGGCATTCCTTTCCTTCACTCACTGCACTGCCACACCCTCTATGCTCCTGGTAAAGTTGTGATGCAAGTTTAGGGAATAAGATGAGTTGCTTCAATTCACTCAGTATTTAATGAAATGTTGAATAAATTATTCTGAAGTGCTAGAAAGTAATATTTTTTCATCATACACTTGTATTAATTCATTATTGATGATAAACTTGCAAAACTGTAGCAATTTAAAGAAGGTCTTTCACCATATGACATTGAGTAAGTTTATTCCACAAACTAGTAAAAGGAAAAAATGTATTATTTCATATTGTTTATATAGACATTATTTACTGTTACTAATTGTAAGGATATAGCAAGTACTCAGAACAGGAAGTAGCTAGGCTGATTTGCATATTTAGTTCATTCAATTTATATTAATAAAAATTTCTGGTAGCATATGTTTTAATGATGATATTTTACTGTTACAGAGAAAGTTATGTGGCCATTTGTGCCATCAATAGCCGGCAGCAAAGGCAGTTCTAGAGGCAACACGGCAGCTCTCATGAGATGGCTGGGGTCGCTTAATGCCACTCAAGTCAAAGAACTCATCCTATCCAGGGCACTCATGGTCAATTATTTCTACATTTTTTGTCCATTTCTATGTTCTATATCTGACACTACATTGAAGTATATTGTCTTGAGAATTGATATCTGTGCATTATAACCATGTATCAATGAGTGTTGTTACTAATGCATTATGAAGAACTTGTCCAGAAATGTTGTGTATGTGTAACAATTTTTTTTTGCAGTTACACTTTCAATAATAGTTTCACTTGATCTTTCATCCAGGAGCCAGAATTGCCTACAGATGTCGTGTGTCCGCTGCTAAAATACCTCATACGCTACATTGCTGCTCATCCTCTGGCACCTTCTAGTCTTGGATCTGATAAAGCTGTCCCTCCTGAAGAAGTAGGTGATAAAGCTGTCCCTCCTGAAGAAGGAGGTGATGATGAGATGGTAACTGCTGCACATCAACTCATTACCTTCCATTTAACCACTTCCACAGCACCAGCAGCACTGCTTAAAAGTTTCCTTGCTGAAATCCCTCTGGCACTTGTAAACTTGGGTGAGAATTTCTTCTTAAATATAGATAAGTTTTTAAAGCATAGGTTAATAGTTGATTTTTTATGTTTTTTATAACTGATTATGCCTGAGCTTTTGATTGAGAATTAGTTTGATATTAAAAATCTTAGCAAGTATATAGGCCTACTTGATGAAATCTTGTAGAATTTTTGCTTTATTAATTGAATTTCTTATTCTGAACTTGGGATAGAATTTTTTTATCTTTCAGTGTGTTTTTTCTTGCTTATTTCATTCCAATTTACTTTATTTATCTAATTTCCCTTGGATTAATTTGAAATTAATTTATTATTTGCAGGCGGCAACCAATCATGTTTTCCACACTCCACCTTGGCGTGCTGGAGCATCTCTTCCGAGCTCCATCACAACAAGACCCCAAACTCTGCCTCTGACTCCTGTGCACAGATGAACTCCATCAAACTTGTGCGTGTCTCCACAACTCTAAAGAAGTGGTCAAATTTTTATGATGCAATTCAAATAGTTTTTAATTTGCCTAGGCAGGGTGCTTACTTGTCATGGAAAACCTGGAAAGTCGTAAAAGAGTATGGGAAATTGCGAGTCATATATGAGTGACTCGTATATGACTCACCATTTTCCAGACTCGTATACGACTTGTAATTTTCCAGACTCGTCCAGACTTTCCAGGTTTTCCATGACCAGTACTCGCACTGCTTGGTTTTGATGAATTAATGTAACAACTCAGTACTGTACTTGTTTCATTTCAAAGTCTTGAATTACGTCAAGATGAAATGAAAATTTAATTTTGTAGTATGGTATACCATCTTATAAACAATACAGCTTTGCTTAAATAAGTTTGTTTCCAACTTTCGACTCTTAGTGTCTTTTAAACTGAGTTTCATTTCAAAGTCTTGAATTACATCAAGATGACCTGAAAATTAAATTTTGTAGTACGGTATACCATCTTATAAACAATACAGCTTTGCTTAAATAAGTTTGTTTCCGTCTTTCGACTCTTACTGTCTCTTAAACTGAGCAGCTGTTGAATGCCTTATGCAGCGGCCTGGCACAACTAACGCATCATCTGTCCTCAACAGAAACTCAAATGGTGAGTTAAAAGACCACAATTTTTAGGAAGATAATTGGCTAGGCTGTCCAATCTAGAATATTGAGTAAAATTATATGCAGTTGTGAAAGTGCTATTTAAATGAAATTGAAAAGGCTAGTGCTTTACATATGGTATTAGTGCTAAGCATGTCACTGAAAGATATTCAATTAGTTTATAATATGATTTTGCCCTCAAATTTGTCATGAAATTTTTAGTTTCATTTTCCCATTTGTGTATATGAAAATTTATAGATGATTATAATCAATAGTATCTTTAATACCGTAATCAGTAGCGAGAGAATCTCTTTTTCAAATTATGATACACGTTTTGTCACAAGTATACCCCATAGCTCCATTGCTTGGTAACTTTCACTAAGCAGCCAAGGAATTTTGTCTTACTGGAAGCTGTGATCCATGTATTGTCACAATAGGTAGCTTCATTTTTTATTGACATTATGTGTTGCTAGCAGCCAAACAGTCATGTTTTGAGAAGCTGTGATCCATGTTTTGTAACAAAAATACTCGGTAGCTTCATCGTTTATTAATGTTGAATGGTATGAGCAGGCGAGCAGTTCAGTGGAGGAAGGCATGCTGGACGCTCTGGTCTCGTGGTTGTGCAGACTTGGTCAAGACCCTGCAGTACTAACGTCCTCCCTTCACACCACCGTTGCTACCGCCATTTCCCACACACTTCAACTATACCGAGATTTTCAGGTGAACTAATCCTACCATGATAATGAGGAGTGAGAGTTATATTTGGAAAGGTATTAGTTCATGTATTAAAAACCCATCAAGCCTTGTAACTTGCTCAGTTTCAAAATAAATTATACAAACACAGAGACAGTCTAGTTTCAGTGTTTGTGAGCGTAATAATCAATTAAATCTGACAAGTCCACCACTCCACTTGTTCAAATATTTTACTCTTAAATTTAGCCTGGAATTGCTTAGAAATAATATGTCTTAAATTTCTATTAATTACATCTGATGTTTATTAGGGCTTTCGAAATTAGAACCAAGGGAGGGGATACTTCAAGTTCTCCCAATAAATATAACATGCCCTCTTAATATAAGCACGCCCTCTTAATATGAGTATGCCCTCTTAATATAAGCATGCCCTCTTAATATAAGCACGCCCTCTTAACATAAGCACGCCCTCTTAATATAAGCACGCCCTCTTAATATAAGCCTGCCCTCTTAATATAAGCACGCCCTCTTAATATAAGCATGCCCTCTTAATATAAGCATGCCCTCTTAATATAAGCATGCCCTCTTAATATAAGCACGCTCTCCGCTCATAAAGTTTGTTCTTGATTTTGTTCTCATCACAAATCTTCCAAGCAGCCAAGTGTCCATTCCTCAAGAAGTGGAGTCTTTTTGAACCGATACTTCAAAAAGAATAGGAATAGGATTTGGGTTCCAATTAGGAACCCAAATTCCAATAAGATCCTATTTTGGATAGGCCGCCTCCAAAGACGCAATCACTTCAAAGCCTCTTAAAAATAGCAAAATATTATGGGGAAAAGGTAGAGTCAGACTGTGGACAATTTACTGGACTGGGCAGTTCAGTTACGAAATTCTTCATACTAAATGCACTGCATTAAGTACACATATTTTTATAATACCCTTTTTCAAAAATAGTGTTAAAACTATTAACAATTTCGAATGCTGTTCAAGCCAAGAAAACAATAGTCATCATATGAAGACTAGCCACCAATCTTATAGAGTTACTTTTTTCTCCTGAAATTTTCCACTCTCCATGTGAGACTGCGGTTTGTTTTACCCGCAAACACAAGTACTTGTGAAAACTCGAGCATGCTTTATTAAAGATTAAATATCAGCCCATGTTGAGTTTTGTTCTTAGTTCATTTCATCCACCCGTTAAATGTATTGGATTTGATGGAATTTTATTTTGCAGGCAAAGGTGCAGGACCTTGTGGAGATTATATCGGAGCCTTGGCTGAGCAATCCTGACTCAGAGGAGGTGATTAAGATTATTCACCCAGAATATTGTACTCGTTAGAAATGTATCCTACTACCTTTGCTAAATTATTCAGTAAAGACTATGTATATTAGGGCCGGTTATGATGTAGAGCAATCCTGACTCTGCGGAGGTGATCAATATTATTCACCTAGATTATTGTACTCGTTAGAAATGTATCTTACTACCTTTGCTAAATTATTCAGTAAAGACTAGGTATATTAGGGCCGGTTATGATGTAGAGCAATCCTGCCTCTGCGGAGGTGATCAATATTATTCACCTAGATTATTGTACTCGTTTCGTTAGAAATGTATCTTACTACGTTTGCTAAATTGTTCAGTAAAGACTAGGTATATTAGGGCCGGTTATGATGTAGAGCAATCCTGACTCTGGGGAGGTGATTAAGATTATTCACCTAGATTATTGTAGTCATTAGAAATGTATCTTACTACCTTTGCTAAATTGTTCAGTAAAGACTATGTATATTAGGGCCGGTTATGATGTATCACGGTTGTGATGTATTACTTCGTCTCAGCTTTTGGAATCATTTGGTTTATCCTCAGCATTTGAATGACGTTGTGGATCTAATCCTACTATTAAATGTGTCTGAAAGTTTTAATTTTTAGAAGTAAATAACATGTATTGCAGCTCAAAAGGTATTCTCCTTTTTTTTTAATATTATTGATTATTAATACCATTCATATGGGTAATTCATAATTGGGTCTCCGCTATTTTTTCCACGCAAGATACAACTTATCTTCTGAATTTAATTATTTATTATTTTATTCATTAATCATTTATCTATTTTTTATTTATCTGTTTAATTCATTACATCTGAGTACAGCTGTTTAATTCATTACATCTGAGTACAGCTGTTTAATTTATTACATCTGAGTACAGCCGTTTAATTTACTACATCTGAGTACAGCTGTTTAATTCATTACATTATGTGTACGGATATTATGCATGTACATCACGCAATGATTTTAATGCACTTGTATTCATCAGAGTGGCAGCAATGAGGCTGGCAGTGACAGCAGCAAGAGCTTCCCTCACCACACTGCCAGCTTTGTCTGCCACACATTACTGGCAAACTCGCACCGCTGCAGGCAGCTGGCATCATCCCTGGCATTCCTGGCCCTGACAGACTGCCTGCAGTGTGACAGCGTTGAGGTCCTCGATGCTGTTGAGGTCTGTTTTCTTATTCCAAGGGTTCGTAAAAATTGAAAAATTCTTGAAATTAATTTGAAAATCGGTGTACGTTTCTCAAAATTCGAGGTAATTTCAAAGTTTATTGTCATTTTAAGTTTTGTGTAATTTTCTTAATATAAATGGTCTATTTTTGTTATATTCCCTGTTTTTTTAGCTCATTTTCCATATATAGAAAAATGCCTTATTGTGCTCGTCATATCTGTCTGTCTGTACGTATGTCCGTCTGTCTGTCCGTCTGTCCGTGACTTCACGTTTTAGTCGACGAGAAAATGCGCTCTCTGTCACTCACTGCAGTGAGTACTGAGTCATATTTTCTACACCTTAATTTGACATTTTAATTGTATGAACACTTCAGAAAAGATCAAAGGTTCTCTTCTTTCGTTATTCCCTGTGAATGCCATACGTTCGTTGGTGTCACTGAACTCAGATGATGTACGTGAGAGTTTCTATACCTGAGAGGTATATACCTTGAGAGTTTCCTATACCTGAGGATCATTTTACTTCAGAGCTCCGCGTCTATAATGATGAAATACGTATGTGTGCTGACCACAGCTCGAGGCAGAGGTACAACAAGATTATTTCTTGTATCGACATTATATTTTATCATCTGGAAATAAAGTTGTTATGAAAAGATTTTAGATGAGGAGCATTGTGCTCGTTACAGACGAGTGACACGCTTGTTACAGATGAGTGACACGCTCGTTACAGATGAGTGACACGCTTGTTACAGATGAGTGACACGCTCGTTACAGATGAGTGACACGCTCGTTACAGTGTGAGGCAGAGGCGCACATATTGTATACATTTATTGGCATCACAAATGCGTCTATTGCTTAAATAATACCGGTATTGCTCTTATAATATATAATAATAATATTATTATATAATATTGCTTATATGATATTATAATATTATAATATAATATTGCTCGTATATTATGTATATTATGTATATTATGTGGCCCTGCCCCAACATATGATGCAGAAGTATTAGTTGAGGTTGGGTGGACAATAGAATCAATTGTAGCTTCATCACGTTTTTCTGTTTGACAAAATGTCGAATGTGTCTATACATTTCAAGATTTTGTTGCGCATTCATTTAGTGATTTTAATTTTATTTATTATTTTACTTTTTAAATTAATTTATAAATTTATTTATTTTGTATTAATTTTTTGCTTTATTTGTTCTTTATTTTATTTAATTAACTTTTATTCGCAGCATCTGGGCGAGTCTGTCTACAATCCTGACGGCGAGCGTGTGAAGCCCGCGGCCTCCCTCGCCTCCAGCTCCCCCATGGAGTCCTGACCTCCAGCTCCCCCGTGGAGTCCTGACCTCCAGCTCCCCCTTGGAGTCCTGACCTCCTGCTCCTCCATGGAGTCCTGACCTCCAGCTCCCCCTTGGAGTCCTGACCTCCAGCTCCCCTTGGAGTCCTGACCTCCTGCTAGCCTGATCTCCAATCAATGTTTATAATCTTTTAATGAACTTCATCTTTATTTGATAATCTTGTTTTAAAAAGTAAAAATAGATGCAATGTTGGGAATTTAAGACAATATGTAATGTTCTCTATAATAAATCAACTTTATAATCCTCTATTAGGATCTGCTATGTTCTGTCGTAGTTTAATAGTTAATCGGCAGTATCTTCGATTTACGCTGTTTGTAGGTCCACGAATATTATTTTATATATGGCGGGGAAATATTTTTTGCATGACTCAAGATGAGGGGTAAAAGGCACCTGTTTATTCCTTTGGATCTTAATGCTATTGTTCGTATTAGTTTATGTTATAAGTTTCATATGTGGTAAATCAATCTAATATGTTGCTCACTCTAGGGAATGAGTGGGGTTCACATTGAGAGGGTTAGGTGAGTGAGAGGGTTAGGTGAGTGAGAGGGTTAGGTGAGTGAGAGGGTTAGGTGAGTGAGAGGGTTAGGTGAGTGAGAGGGTTAGGTGAGTGAGAGGGTTAGGTGAGTGAGAGGGTTAGGTGAGTGAGAGGGTTAGGTTACTGAGAGGGTTAGGTTACTGAGAGGGTTAGGTTACTGAGAGGGTTAGGTTACTGAGAGGGCTAGGTTACTGAGAGGGCTAGGTAAATGAGAAGGTAGTGGTAAGTGAGAAAGGGTTAGGGAAGCTAGTAAAAGCTTTTAATGTTAATCATTTTGAAGACGACAGAGCGGTACAATTTTAGTCATTGTTACCATCATATTAATTGCCATGATTTCATTTGGTCACAGAGATCTGCTGTGTTTATGATAACGAGTGATATTTTTAAACGAATGGTGCTGTGACATGGCGAAAGTTTTTTTTTAAGTTTCATGTAAATATTTTTACGCTTTTGTGTTTTGCTAAAAAACTTTTGTCGTGTTCCTTTGGTTCACATTTGCGTTATTACTGACGAAGAGCTCGAAGTTTCGTTCTTTTTGCAATACGCATCATCACAAATAACTCTTATCACAATGTCATCTTTATGTTAGTTTGTTCCTACTATTAAAATATGGTGTATATATTATTAATTATCTAGTATATGTATAAATTTTATAGCTGTAGGTAATCGACTTGGATGTGTTTTGAAATAAAGTGAAAGAGATCCAATGTCACGGAACATATGCACTTAAGACATGCTTGCTAATGATATATTTGTTCATTATTGAATATTAGTAAAGTGAGCACTCTTGATTAAGATTAGGTACATTTATCTCTCGTGTGACTGATAGCAACATTCTCAAAGCATTTCCATTGTCGTAAATCCGTCAACTTACCACTTGCGTTAATTTATGTTAAGCCATGACTTAACAATACCTGTAGAGCTTGTATTAACTACTGACTCACGATTATTGTTAAAGCCACAATTATCAAGTGCTGGATCTCCTCAGATTCTTCGATCAGCGTTTGATTATGATCGTTAAGGGCCTCAAAGGTACGGGCCATTAATGGCCCTTATAAGGGCCTTAAAGGTACGGCCCATGATCGTTAAGGGCCCTTAATAAGGGCCTTAAAGGCACGGCCCGTGATCGTTAAGGGACCTTAATAAGGGTCTTAAAGGTACGGCCCATGATCGTTAAGGGCCCTTAATAAGGGCCTTAAAGGTACGGCCCATGATAGTTAAAGGCCCTTAATAAGGGCCTTAAAGGTACGGCCCATGATCGTTAAGGGCCCTTAATAAGGTTCTTAAAGGTACGGTTCATGATCGTTAAGGGCAAGGGCCTTAAAGGCACGCCCCATGATCGTTAAGGGCCATTTAATGGACTTGGAGTTACGTTCACTGAAGCACTTACAGTTAGCCCAAACCTTTGAATATTAAATGAATTACGTTTTTATTACATTGCTTACGATAGCGATATTCGTTGTGTCATTCTAAGCCTTACAATCACCGTAAAAACTCAATCTAGGTTTTAAGATCGCTACAGACAAGATAAGTCTTGTACTTACGATCACTTTAAGACTTCGGTAATTGTAATGGCCTTCGAGTGCACAACTTACCCGGTCAGTACAAATAAAGTTAAGTCGTCGTTGATGTTTTATTTCCAAGTTTAAACTTCACTAGTGTAAAGTCCTGCCTGCTAACTCCACTCGGCCAACACGTAGCCAATCAACCCTGAAGAGTCGAGTTATCAGCTGTCTCCACTGAGAATTCTTTCTTTCCTACCAATCACCACTGAGAATTCCATCTTTCCTGCCAATCACCAGAGAGCGATCCATCTTTCCTGCCAATCACCACTGAGAATTCCGTCTTTCCTGCCAATCACCACTGCGAAATATGGCTTTTCTACCAATCACCACTGAGAATTCTATCATTCCTGCCAATCACCACTGAGAATTCTATCTTTCCTGCCAATTACCACTGCAAAATATATCTTTCCTGCCAATCACCACTGAGAAATCTATCTTTCCTGCCAATTACCACTGAGAATTCCATCTTCCCTGCCAATCACCGCTGAGAATTCTATCTTTCCTGCCAATCACCACTGCAAAATATAGCTTTTCTACCAATCACCACTGAGAATTCTTTCATTCCTGCCAATCACCACTGCGAAATATAGCTTTTCTACCAATCACCACTGAGAATTCTATCTTTCCTGCCAATCACCACTGAGAAATCTATCTTTCCTGCCAATTACCACTGAGAATTCCATCTTCCCTGCCAATCACCACTGAGAATTCTATCATTCCTGCCAATCACCAGAGAGCGATCCATCTTGCCAATAAGTCTATTTCACCACTGAGAATTTTAGCTCCCATTCCAATCACTACCAAAGATTTAAACCAATCAGCTAATCACTACAGGAGCCTCTGGCCCTATTTCATATCTCACCGCTGCTGGTTCAAGCCCATAGGCCAATCCCTACAAAAAATTATATCTAAATATTATGAATTGTTATCTTATAGGCAGCACTGAATAGCTTCACCATATATTGGTTGCCTATCACTGTTGACTCGTATTCTAGAGTAAATATAATTACATGGGTATTTATTTGTACGTCATTTTGCTCGCGGGGTATAAAGAAGTTTTCAACTATCCATTGCAACAAAATTTAAATAATAATAATAGCGGTTTCAGCGTTATTAGGCCGTAGGCCTGTCGCCGCTTCTTAACATCGCAGAACTTTCACAGCATTTTGCGGTCTCGAACTCGCAACTCACTGCTACAATTCTGCTGTGCTTAACCGCCCGGCCTCCTTGCCGATTCTGACCAGAAACTGGCGCACAGAGCTGGGATCGAACCCGCGCCTCTCTGCGCCTATCTTGGTACTCTGAACTTAAACCACTGGGCCACCCTGCCCATGTTAATGACAATAAAAATAAAAAAGCCTATACCCAAGGCTTACTTTAGAGTTATTACCTCAGTTACTTTACATTGTTGTAATACGTCCGTACTCTGAATTTGATGTGGGATATTAATGTTAATAAATATTAATATAATGACACAAATAATATAGTATAATAATAGTACTAATAATATAATACATGTATAGTATTACGTTAGTAATACTCCAGCATTTACTCATATATATTGAGTCTCAATTGATGAATAAGATCGTTGCCAGCTGTCATTGATTCGTGGGGATTTTTTTTTCGAGAATTATACATTATTTATAATGAATTCTGCATCATTTATATTGAAATTTTCATCATTTTTAATGAATAATAAAGAATAATTAATAGAGATTAAAATATGAGCAGGTAAGGAAAAGAAGTTAATATTTCGAGACGTTTGGAAATGAAACAAAGTAGAAGATTAAGAATGTTTAATGTTCTCGTCTCAAACTTGTTTACTTGGGAACCAATTTTACGCTTTTTGTTTAGTTATTAGGGACATATGTGCTGAAATACTCTTTATTGTCTGAAATGTTATGATGAATCTAATGACCCTAGTGACAAATGACCTTTATGACCTCAATTACCTCTATGATCCAAATGACCTTAGTGATACCAATGACCTCAATGACTAATAAATCTAATGACCTATGACCTTTATAAGACTATTTATTCTAATGATCCTAATGACCACAATGATCTTTATGAATCTAATGATTTTATTTAACCTCAATGATACCAATGACCTGAATGACCTTAATAATCCCAATGATCTTAATTACCCTGATGAAATTAATGATCATAATGATCCCCATGATCCAATTAGCCTTAATGACCCTAGTGACCTTTATGACCTTAACGACCTCAATGACCTTAATGACCCTAGTGACCTTTATGCTCTTAATGACCTTAATGACCCTACAGATACCAATGATCCTAAATGCCCCAATGACCTTTATTAACCTAATGATCTCAATGATCCAGAGACCGTAATGACCCTAGTGGCCTTTATGATCCTAATAATCCTCATAAACATAATTTAATTATTTAATTTAATATTTAATTTAATTTAATCTAATAACCATGCATGCTGATCCTAATAACCATGCCACATGACAGACCGAACTCCTGTACAGTATTTAAAAGAATATTAATTTAAACACAATATTCATTTCAACACAATAATTATTTCAATACAATATTCATTTGAACACAATATTCATTTAAACGCAATATTCATTTAAACACAATATTCATTTAAACACAATATTCATTCGAACACAATATTCATTTAAACACAATATTCATTTAAACACAATATTCATTAACACAATATTCATTCAAACACAATATTCATTCGAACACAATATTCATTTGAACACAATATTCATTCCAACGCAATATTCATTCAAACACAATGTTCATTCAAACACAATATTCATTTAAACGCAATATTCATTTCAACACAATATTCATTCAAACACAATATTCATTCAAACACAATATTCATTCCAACGCAATATTCATTCAAACACAATATTCATTCCAACACAATATTCATTCCAACACAATATTCATTTCAACACAATATTCATTTGAACACAATATTCATTTCAAAACAATAATTATTTCAACACAATTTTTATTGAAACACAATATTCATACAAACACAATATTCATTCAAACACTATATTCATTTGAATTCATTCAAACATTATATTCATTCGAACACAATATTCATTCCAACACAATTATGGGGCTAGTCATTCGATGATGGAATGGAGCCTCCGTATACGCAAATCCTAATGCCAATTTTCTTAATTATGTCATATATTACATCGTTTATATATATAGATAATAAAAGACATTGGCAGACTACTTGCAAGACAATATGGCAATAATTTCTTCTACATTTTGTAAATAAATTTTACGAGGGTCGTTAGTCATGGACGTAAAATAATATATGGCAATAATCAATATAATAATATGGCAATAATTTCTTCTACATTTTGTAAATAAATTTTACGAGGGTCGTTAGTCATGGACGTAAACTAATATATGGCAATAATCAATATTATAATATGGCAATAATTTTTTCGCCATTTTGTAAATAAATTTTACGAGGGTCGAAAGTCATGGACGTAAACTCGCTTTCTAGGATTCGTATTGAACTATAAAATAAAATTGTTGTTGGACAAGTGGATTTGAAATGAAAAATTCAAGAAAATCTATACCATATCAGAGAATTCGAGACAAGTTTACATTTTTCAAGCAAGTTATCGATGATTTTGAATCATTTTAGAAATTTCGCTATTGCCTTGTCTATTTGCATGACGTGCATCTTGTTTGTCTTCATCCCCCATAGGTTAAATTAAATGCAACCATTTGAAGTCATAAACAATTTAAATTACAACTCTGCAGCTTGGTTCACATAATTTATCGTAATATTCAGGCTGAATTTTAACAAAAAATATATAAATTTCTAGGGGCAATCATGGCTGAAGTTAACATAAAAGCTAAAATTGATATAAACTTAGAGACCAAAGTTTGCCCAAAAACTATCAGGTTTAAAATGAGTTAAAAAATATAAATACTTTGTACAGCAAATACTGTTTAGGTTTGAATTGCACTCGTTATCTCCGACGAACAAAGGCAGCAAAAAAATCAAGCTCAGTCTAAATTGTTTTGGCTTAACATTATATTTACAGGTTATTAACAAATGATATCTATAATAAATAACAGTAATGAGACAACAATTGCTGGAGTTTGACACGATGTAAATGCAAAAGTTTGGCGACGTTCAGAAAACAAAATTAATGTGTTATATTTTCCAAATTGTTACGTACTTTCTGCACTGAGCACCAACACGCCTCTTTTTCTGGGTTAAATCGAGTCTAGATGACTCACATCAGTTCAGGAAATGAATCGATAGATGGAGAAAGTCACACTGATTTTTCTGGGCGCACAGTTTTTAAGACAAGTAATTTGGCTGAGAATTTCAGACGCAATTATCGACATATCATTGCCTATTCTCACTGGAAAATATCACAGGCATATTTAACTAATTGATGAATGGTAGTTCACAGGCAAATAGGCTCTGATTTTGAACAAGGATCAGACACCATGGCGTTGAGCTGTAAATTTTATGAAGCGTGTAATTTACAATTCTGCGGCAGAAATGTGATACGAGTTTGAAGTTTCCAATTTTTAAATGCAAACCTGGAATGATAATAAGAATATTAGATTGTTTTTCAGTTATTCATATATGCACAAAGGAATAATAGTTTCAAACAGGTGACTGAAATGTAATTAGCTGTTATTTGAAGGTAATTTTCATTATGGATGAAAAGTTTAATTTCAGAGCTGGCAACTTTTTTTTAACCAACCCCCCTGATTGATTAACTGGATAAATTTAGCTATCTTGATTTATGGTTATTGATGCAAAATGCTATACAATATTTCTAGAAGTCGATGAATTTTATGTCGAAAACACGCAGCGGATTTTAATCTTTTTACATTTAATTGAATATTTCCCCTAAAATATAAATTAACAAATACTCAGCAATTAAAAATTATTTATGGATTATTCCACGTCCCATTCAATATAAGATATAATTGGTTTGTTTACTCGTTTAATTACTGTTTCAGGTTGGAAAAGAAGTTTACAGTCATTCCTGCTGCTATCACACACTAAAAACTTAATAAACAATACTATAAAATAAACTATATATATATATATATAGTCTATAAAATACAATAATTAAAAAACAAAAATAAATTGTGCTGCTGCAATACAACTGCAGCAGCACAGTAACACTCACAGCAACCACGAGAATGCGATGCTTGATAATATTTTTCATCTTAAAGATTAAAGGAAATCATCGTAAATGTTATAAATAAATGAGCGTCTCAGGATGGAAATGGACAGATCGAGACAGAGGAACGAACAAACATTCCAAGAAGACAAGTGAGGTTAGAAAAACGTTGAATTGACGCTATTTAACCAAACAACGTTTATTTAAATGTTTATTTCTACGTTTATTTCAACATTTTATTCAACGCCAGAGGGAAAGTGGAGTTGAAATAGCCAGGTGGAGCCAGAGGGAAAGCCCTCTGAGGGGAATTGAACAGACGGGTAGAGGGAAGTAGTCTCAGCTCGAACATTGCAGGGTATGGTTTGCTACTATTAGTGATACTAATACGATTTAATCATCAAGTCAACATGAGTAGTGACCTGGAGCCATACTTTGAAAACTCGCTAAGTGAACGTAAGTACTTACGCTCTTTTTTCTTGCCTATGATTGGTGGATTTTGCTTGAAAGGCCGTCAATGACTGGCTGATAAACTTATGATCTCTTAACTTTTTTTGAAAGTATGGGCCCAGATCGAGGGAATAAAGAACGTAAGAGCCTAATTAAAACAACGTTGATTGGAATTGGCACGCGTTAGAGCTTCGATCAAGACAATCCGCGTATGTAATCTTAAATTTTATTGCAGGCTTTGGCATTGAGCTAGGAAATTTGAGAACAGCACTTCTTATTTTCTTATATTTGCTTCATAATTTATCACTATTAAAGCTTTGAATGAATCGAAGAGTGAGCGGAAGTTTCTTATCAATTAGATTTAAACAGTTATCAGTTATCAATTCAACAACAGTTATCAATTATCAACAGTTATCAGTTATCAATTCGATTTAAAAGTTCAAATCTCCCTGTAATACCAGTCTGATATAGATGACGTTACTCGGAAATATATATTTCGTATAGGTGTATGTATATTTTTAGCGAATTTTTCAATTGTTCACAACAAATTTTCCATCTAACGATGTAGTTTTCTTCCACCATTTATATTCCAGAAAACAAATAATGAAATTTGAAGTTTTGCCCGGGACGGAAATTTCGTACCAAAGAACGCCATTTTTCCTTGAGTCTAATTTTTAAATCAAGCCATCCTGTGGAAACAGCTGGCATTATTATGTGCATTAATAATCGTATATTCTCTAATAATTTACAGTACTACTATTTAAATTACTCTTCAAAGTGGGATATATAATTGTAAAAGTTTACGACGATTCTAGTACGTACGAACGACGGTATAAGATGGAATGAAGTTTATTGGAGACGCTTGTTAGAAATCGCGTATAGACGTAATGAATTATGGAGAATAAATGTTTAAATAGGGTAGTCTGAAGGAGGTCACTAATCATTAGTATCACAACATGCATAATAATAATAATAATAATAATTATCATATACTAAATAGGCTAATCAACTCTATACAACGTCACCAACAACGCGCTAAGCTAGGTACTTCAACATACTAACAACTCAGGATTTTCATAACCACTTTACATTTAAGTATGCGAAATAAGAAATAATATGTGGGTGTTTAATAGAAACATGGACAGATAATATTATTCCTGGATTACCCTCCGTCCTATAGTTAATGAGTTCGAAATTAAAGATGTAATAGTGGATGAGGTAAAAATTTAAAATTCTCAAGAGAAACTTAGGTAAACACACACGCTGCCCTAAAATAAGGAAATTTATAAAGTTAAAAATATGTATCAAGGAAATATTTTTGATATTTAAATATGTATATAGATATATATATTTATTTCATAATTTTATTTTTTTAGCAATGTCGTGAGGGACATGGGGCACCTGATATTATTTCCCTGTAAATTAGAACACAAAATGTCAATTTAACGCTCATAAGTTATTGAAATTCTTTTCTTTCTATTACTTTATTTATTCTTTTTGCTACTTTTATTTCGTCATTGAATAAATATATATTTTCCCACAGATTTTTGTTTTTTTTCCAAGTGATATTCATGAGAATGGGATACAATTAAATTCAATTGACAAAATTTTGTCTTCACCATTCGAAATTTTAATAAATTATGTCACTCACCATAGTTGCGATCACGTTTACCATGAGCAGAATTCGAACCTTTTAACCTGCCATCCCGCAGCGAAAAATAAAATCATCCGACTTAATTAAATCATAATTTAATAATTAGTTTAATTAAATTAAAATTAAAATCATGTAACGACGACCAATCGAAACTATCGAAATATATTTCAATTAATTTCTAGTCAACTGAAATTTCTAAAAATATCCCACTCAAACATGCCGTGAAAGAATTATTGTGTGCTAACTCAGACAGTTTGTTTATTAACTTTTTATTTATAATGTGCAAACACGATTTAAGGTAGACTAGATATTCGGACGAGAATCAATAAAGAGTGCAATGAAGAACCAGCAAGATGGGTACGGGAAATTGATGTGCAAGTTACAGAAGGTGGGAAATAGAGAATTATCAATCTGAAGATGATCATTATTAATATTTATGCTACAAATAGAAAAATTACTATGAGAAGAACATTTCGAAAATTGGTATAACTTTTGCGAGTAGCCGACACAAAAACGGATCCTCGAAAAAAGTTGTTGTTGTTGAATTAACAATTTAAAGTAATTTTCAAACAGAATGCCGTTAACATTCAGACCAATTTTGTTGAATTAACAATTTAAAATAATTTTCATAGAGAATGCCGTTAACATTCAAACCACGAGTAATCCTAGCCGGGAAGATTTTTTTTAGAAAACTGCTATCCGAGTTAGTGCTTTCAGCATTTCATTTTCTCAATTTTTTCAAACTTATTCTTCCATATTCAATAAATATACAAATACTGATATTTTAAATCAAATGAACTTGAATGATTATCAATAACGCTACCGATTCAAAACAAGATATCAATAAAAGTATAGATACCATAAGATTGCAATGAAAGAATAGATTCCATAAAATGTCAATTAAAGTTTAAATCTCATAACACTGCAGTAAAAGTATAGACGCCAGAACATTGCATTTGAATTTAATAGATTAAGTAACATGTCAATAAAAAATATATTCCATTACATAACAATAAAAGTATAAATTCCGTAATATTTTAATGAGAAAATGAAACAGATCACGTATCACGGTACTAATACAATATTTTAACAATGCAATAAAGAAAAGATCCTATAATACGGCAATCACTTTCTAGAAAATGTTCAATTCTAGACCTCGTAAACTAAATTAAAATATTCTTCAGAATATAATAAATAAATTAATATTAATGAAACAGATCACGTAACACGGTACTAATACAATATTTCAACAATGCAATAAAAAAAAAGATTCTATAATACGGCAATCACTTTCTAGAAAATTTTCAATTCAAGACCTCATAAACTAAATTAAAATATTCTTCAGAATATAATAAATAAATTAATATTATTATATTAAATAAATATTATTATATTAAATAATATAATTAATTATTAATTAATATTATTAATTAATATTAATAAATAAATATTATCAGAATAAAATAAATGATTCTGTTAGAAATTGAACAGTTCAGTCGCAGAGATTATATTATAAATGTATGGGCCTAATTGGCCCTATTAACATACTGATGCAGACGCTGAAAATCCTAAGTTTGTCCGTTCTATAGAACATAAGTCACTTTTAAAACCTTAGATATATATTTTATCGAATTTCTTAACACTTAAGGCATCCTCTCCCGCACATGGAATGCCTGTATATATTTTTAGAAATAACTGTGCATTAAATTCTAGCGAATTTTATAATTTCGCAAAATTTTTAATTCATTTTTCTTTCTCACAGTTTTCTGTCCACAACCATATAATTAATACTATTAGATCTAATACTTGATTGTGATCACTATGATCTCCCTTAGGTATATCTAATGCCATCCCAATGCACTTAACTATTCTTTCTGGATATTGAAAGCAATTTTAGGGATTTCCATATCACTAATACGGCACATTTCATCATCCAGAATTGCCGTTTGCACGAAAATGTCCTCAGAAACAACACGGCTAAAGTTTGCCATTTTTAACAACTTTTCAATCATTTCTAGTTTTACCACTTTTTTGGTATTGACTTTTATGTGGTATATTATGAATATACTTCTTCTTCTTAATTTAAAATAAAGTATAACAAAAGGCCTCGACACTTTACCACTTAAGGAACATTTCTTCGCGCATGTTATCTCTAATGTCAATCATCATGAACATTGTTAAGCTTTTTGCGTCAATAATCCGAGACTCTTTTGATCTAAGAAGCTTTTTGTCTTACATGCCTTGTCACATGCCCTTGTTTCAGTCTTACATGCCTTGTCACATGCCCTTGTTTCAGTCTTACATGCCTTGTCACATGCCCCTGTTTCAGTCTTACATGTCTTGCCAAATGCCCTTGTTTTAGTCTTACATGCCTTGTCACACTCGTCAGGGATTACACGTCTCAATTTCAAACCTCTTTTATTTAACAAGCTTGGCGGCGACCGACGTCTCTCCTTCACTCTCCTCATCCTCTTCAATAAGCACCTGACAGTCCTGAGGCTTGACAGCCACCGTCTCTACCTCCTCTTCCTCCTCCTGCTCCTCCAGGAACACGTCCTCACTCGACATGCTCCTGTGAGCGTCTGAGGCTCCTGAACTCGGCAGGCGGAAGACGCTAGTCTTAGAACTCCCGCCTGCCCCGCTACACCCAGGCGAACTCCCACTGCCGCGACTGTTGTCACCCCCAGGCGAACGCTGTTTCAGGTATAAGGAGGTTAGTGTCAGGTTATAAATTATGTTTTGTTGGACAATATACGATTATTAAAATCACGTCTATAAATGGCATCTAAAAAGTAAATGAAATCTACGTATAAAACGCCGTAGAGTTTGTAAGAATGTTGTGATTGCTAAACCTCCAGGTTGTTCACATTTTTTACAAAATTTTCGATCAGAACTCAGCTCCGATGAACTTATAGCGTGCACACCTTTGACTCATTCATAACCAAACCTATGTAAAGTTTTTCATGAGATGAGTCCGGTTAATTTACATAAATACTATTTATTTAACAATTTGCAATATTTATATATCTAAAGTCAGTTTAAAATACGCATAATAATATACCGTAGTTTAATACTGTGGCAATAATGAATAGAATCGTACCTCCGCCAGAGTGTGGTACACAGCAAACAACTGCTCAGTGCTTCTGTTGCCACCGTGAGGGGTGGTGACCTTAGGTGTGTCTCCCGAGCTGCTGGTCAGGTCTGATGTATGGGACCTGGCAGGAGTTCTGATGTAGACCAGGTAATGGTCTCCTCTGTCCAGCACCCCACGAGGGTCTACGATGGCAAAGCTGCCAGACCGCAACGAACTCATTGAAGGTCTGCGAGAACCTGAATGAAAAGAAGTATTGTTGTTGAATATGAAACTTATTCAATTTTCAACCGTAGAGAACATTTTTCCCTTTCGTCTACGATGAATTTGCTTATTTCAATTTTTCGCTCGTGTTCAAGTGAAGTTTCTAAATTCTGCCGTTTAAATGAATAATTGGCTAAAGAAGTTATGATTCTAAAAAATAAAAAGTTAATAGTTTGTAGTTCCGTCAGCCAATCACTGACGGTTTCCGAAGTAAAACCCAACAATTGTAGACTAGAAACGAGCCGCTACGTGTACTTGTGTTGCTATGTGTATTTGGGCCGCTACGTGCACTTGCGCTGCTATGTGTACTTTTGTTGCTACTTGTATTTAAGGGAGTTTTGAAAGCACACACGGCATATAGGGTTCACATCACCCTCACATACATATACTCATCGTATTTAGGCAGACCTAAACAAACAACAGTACTAAGACCCCCACCAAGCTGGTATTGCTACTCGTTGTTATTTGTTTGAATTTTGATGCTAGTTTTAGCGATGCTTTCTCTAGGAATCTATTATTTTTTTTGGTGACATCAGCAAACTTAGGAAGATTCAAAGCTTCCATTAAATTCACTGACTCCTATACCTAGATGCACTAAATATTATTTAGGTGTACACTTAGTACACTTATAGGATTTAGTTTTGTGCTAATGAACTACAGTGTACGATGCGGTAATATAGTTTTGGGATCATACAATTTTAAATAGACATGCACATAAAAGATTCATGAGTAATTCAGAAGCTAATCAAACTTAAAGGAATAAAAAGGGAGAAGATTTTATAAAAAATAAGCAATGCCGTACGGTGCATTCCGTTACGATGGTAGATTACGAATATAAATGAGTGTACAGTCACTAGTGTCATTCATATGATAGCATTACATCATGTTCTTCTGCTATTAATAACTTGTAGGGAAATTACAATGCTACTTCCTATTGGCATACGCAATTAACAGGGCTAAAAGGTCAAAACTTAAGAAATTTATAGAAGAGTTTCTTTATATTATTGAAGGAAATGGAATTCTATTTAGGTTGGCAGCATTGTAAAGATAATGAAGGTTTTGGGGTCTACAGTGATAGAACAAATGGACAATAATGGGTAAAAACATTAGAGAAAAATTTGCGTTCTATGACAGTGCAAAAATACGCGTTAATTTATGGTCTATGTATTATCTGACGTGATCAAATATTGCAAAATTCTTACTGACGAATTAGTGAAGAGAAGATTTTAAGAATATTTTCGTTAATTAAAATTAATTGCAACGCAATCAAATGATTACGTATTCAGTGTCGGTATGTTAACATTATAATTCATTCAGTGTATAATTCAATTTCATTCATTCGTATTCAGTGTTGTTAACATTATAATTCAGTGTCGGGATTTGGCGTTACCAAACTTTTGATATTGGCAGCTTAAGGAAAATTTATGGTCTAATCAATATAAATAATTCTACTTCTTATGATTAATTAATAATAATTAAACTGTGTATACAACTAACGTTGGGGAGAAATAGGCTTGATAATTTACTCAAGGTAAGCCATTTGTTTTCTGTCATGGAAATGGGTAAAATAGCTTAGTTTCGATACCCGAAGCGACTCGGCCTAGGTATTTGTGACTGTTTTATAGTTTAATAATGTAGCCATCAGAGCGCAAAATGCTTCCATGCAAGGAGGGATATATTTTAAGAGAAAAAATTTAAAAATTGCTTTTGAAAGTTGATATGCGACAGCATAACAAAGCAAATTTCTGGGAAACTATTTACCTGGTCTACTGTAGCTTACATAACGAAAAACTTTACGAACGGGTACAGAGGAAGACTAAGCGAATGCTGTATTGGAAATAAATAATTGTAATGAAGCCAAGTTTTGAACGTGGTCTATTGGGTCTACTGCAGCTTTCAAATGAAAAACTCTACAAACGAGTGCAGAGATAAAATAACTAAATGAATGCTGCTTTGAAAATTGGAAATATAGCCATTGGAATGAATCAAAGATGTGAATGTATTCACCAGGTCTAATGTAGCTGGCGGAATGCAATAGGTCCAAAAACTTAACAAACGAGTGCAGAGATAAAATAACTAAATGAATGCTGCATTGAAAATTGGAAATATAGCCTTTGGAATCAAAGTTGTGAATGTATTCACCGGGTCTAATGTAGCTGGCGGAATGCAATAGGTCTCCGGACCGCAAAGACGACATGGATGTGTACCTGGAGCTCGCTCTAACTCCGGATTTACCAGCTCTGGTGTAGCTGCCCGTTCTGACGAGGTCTGCAGACCGTAGAGACGTCATAGACGGGCATCGCGAGCCCGTCTTGTAGCTCGCGTACGACGTACGACGGGACGATGAACGTCGGTTCAGACGTTCGCTTCTGGGGCTGAGCGAGCCCTGGCTGTTGGCCAGCGCGAACGCGGCGTATGTTTCTATAGGGATGAAGGGGGGCGTTAGGGGTGAGGGGTGACGTGGTGAGGGGTGACGTGGTGAGGGGTGACGTGGTGAGGGGTGACGTGGTGAGGGGTGACGTGGTGAGGGGTGACGTGGTGAGGGGTGACGTGGTGAGGGGTGACGTGGGGAGGGGTGACGTGGTGAGGGGTGACGTGGTGAGGGGTGACGTGGTGAGGGGTGACGTGGTGAGGGGTGACAGGGTGAGGGGTGACGTGGTGAGGGGTGACGTGGTGTGGGGTGACAGGGTCGGTATTGAGAAAAAAAGATGGCCTCAGATTTGTTGATTGCTTTACATGCAGAATAAGAATTGAATGAATTATACTCCCTTATTTATAAACTAAACCAAATGTCAAACTATTCAAGTATTCTAATAATGAAGGTTACATCAACTATTATTATACAAAAATTTCGCTTTAAATCTAAGAAAAATATGGTTATTTCGATGCAGGAGTTGCTGCAAGCACATGTTATGTTAATTACACGGAAAAATCTAGATCAATATTCAACAATGAGAATGACGAAAAAGGGCACGATGCTTCACATGAGGGAAATACAAAAATTACTATTTCGAGATAGGGTAACAATAGTTCAGGCCGGTATTTCTCTAGAAGCTACGATAGGAGATTCCTCGCTAGACGTGGTAATCGTTCTAGTGCTAGAATAACTCGTTACTAGAAGGCGGAAAATGTCGTGGCTGAATCTACAAAGTTTTAGAAAGATTTCAATTTTAAATTGGAATATTCAATATGGCATATTTTTTAAGATACGGAAGTTATTTTCTGCATGGCATTCGTTTTTTTACATTGGCGAGTCCTAAACATCGAATCACACATTTTCGTTGATGTCTTAAAAAATTTACATCTCTTCCCGACATTTATTGAAATACAAACCTGAAAGTTGTGACAAGTTATCTATTTTTTTCGGAAATAGATGATGAACAAATCTTAATTGAAACTCTCCCAAATTTCTTGAAAATACCGCTTGTAATTAAACATTTTGTTGGCTGACTTTTCGACATTTTCCGCCGTTATAGTTTATGATTAATAACTTACACAAAATTATGAATCTATCTTCGCCTGAACTACACTAGAGACTTTTGGTGATGAACATGTTAGTGATGTTCGCTAGTGATGCACATATTACTGATGCTCACTAGGGCCAGGAGTTTATTTTGGAGTAGGACTCACGCACAAAAATGTCATCCCGTTGTGTAAAAAATATTAGGCTCACTTTAATGGCAGGAAAAATAGCCAACGTGACCAAAGAGTGGCTCCAGCTTCCGGTGCTGATACGAGTGGTCGAAAATGCTACATTTTTGCAGACGAATGTCGCTACCGTGAACTAGCTAAAACTTATGTCAGTTTTGTTGAGACACAGCCTAACTTCCATCCACCATACCATGATCATCATTAAACCATTCAAACTTCATTACTTGACAGTAAAGAAACTTAGGAGCCTCAATGACAACCGCAAAAAATTGTATAATTTTGATTTCTGAATTTCGTGTTGATATTGATACTTTCGAAAATTTCTTAGAAGAAAATAGAAATTTTTCATACAACAATTAAAAATGTGCTTTGAAATCATTAACGGTTTTACATTTAAATAATTCGTATATGCGTAATTTAATAAATTGAATTGTAGGCGAGTTTCGAAAATTTTTTGAAGAAAATATAATTTTTTCACAGAACCAAAATGTGCTTTGAAGTCACTAACGGATTTGCATTTAAAAAATTTATAGATTCGTAGTTTAATCAATGAAATTGAAGACGAGCTCCATCTCAATGAAAATTTGGGAGTAAATTAAATAATATAACTATTATTTTATGACGACTTCAAGTAATAGTGGAGGAAAGTTAGCTAAGGCAGGCTTGGCATCTAAATGAAGGTAAGACAGACTTTAGCACGCACGTGTTGCCACGGGCAACTTGAAGGGATGAAAAAAACTTTCTATCACTGCAAAGTTTGGGTCCGTACCACCAAAAGAGGTCGGAAGATCGTCCTGGCAACTCCTACATGAAGGAACTATGCGTGTGGCTCCAGGAGGGGAAGGAAAGGTAATTCCTCTTAGTCTTCCCCTTGCAGATGGGGAGGGGAGGGTTATACCTCGCACTCTTCCCCTTCTACCCGCAAAAGTTCGGCTTCTCCTCAAGGGGCCACCGACGTCTATGAACTGCAGGATTATGGGCGGGGCCGCAACGCTGCTGTTTGTGCTTGTCACTGACACAGCTGCGTGAATCACCCAAACATGTGACTAAAACACGATATACGAGGCGTGAACTGCCCAAACATGTGACTAAACAACACCATATGTCAAGCGTGAACTGAACAGACATGTGACTAAACCCCCTGTTGGACACGTGAACTGCCCAAACATATGACTAAAACACCACATGTCAAGCGTGAACTGACCAAACATGTGACTAAAACACCATATACCAAGCGTGAGCTGCCCAAACTTGTGACTAAAACACCGTGTTGGATGCGTGAACCACCCAAACTTGTGACTAAAACTTCGTGTTTAACACTTGAACTGCCCAAACATGTGACTAAAACACCTTGTTGGACACGTGAACCACCCAAACATGTGACTAAAACACCGTGTTGGACACGTGAACCACCCAAGCATGTGACTAAAACACCGTGTTTGACACGTGAACCACCCAAACATGTGACTAAAACACCGTGTTGGACACGTGAACCACCCAAACATGTGACTAAAACACCGTGTTGGACACGTGAACCACCCAAACATGTGTTTAAAATACCGTGTTGGACACGTGAACCACCCAAACATGTGACTAAAACACCGTGTTTAACACTTGAACTGCACAAACATGTGACTAAAACACCGTGTTGGACACGTGAACCACCCAAACATGTGACTAAAACATCGTGTTGGACACGTGAACCACCCAAACATGGGACTAAAACACCGTGTTTAACACTTGAACTGCCAAAACATGTGACTAAAACGCCGTGTTTAACACATGAACTTCACAAACATGGGACTAAAACTCCGTGTTTAGCACTTGAACTGCCAAAACATGTGACTAAAACACCATATACGAGGCGTGAACTGCCCAAACATGTGACTAAACACCACATACGAGGCGTGAACTGCCAAACAGGTGACTAATATACCATATATGATGTGTGAACCACCAAAATTCTTTAATAATACGCCATATATGATATGTGAACCACCTGAACATATGAGTAATGCGTCTTATTTGATGTGCGAACCATCAAAGAATGTGAAAAAGTGCCATATTTGAAGTTCGAACATCCAAGCTTTCCCTTTAGGACACCTTAATATTTTTATCATGACATTATCCATATCATTAGTCATTATATCATGATGTTATCGCTATAGTTGTATTTAAATCCTATATTGTTCTAACATCGCAACTATTGAAACTGCTTCATGAACCCCTATAATATTCTTTCAACATTTTGTGCAAATCACTTCAGTAAACATACATTTGTTATACAGGTATTTTAGATAAATGGCATTAAAATTTATAGAAAATTTTGTTTTTCATTTAATGGGAAAAAAATTGCTTCATTTAAAATTTACGCTGCTGTTCTACGCTTACACTGCGTTTTGCAAGTTATTGAACAAACGGTTATTATTAATTAGGAACCTTGAAAATTTGGTTAATTTTGTTAATAAATAATTTGTTTATGTTGAAATGCTTCTATGAGGACATAACTAAAATTAATGCCTAGCATTAATGATTGATATTAATATAAACGAATTTATTATCTGGAACAGTATCCTGAAGGAGAACGGACATGTTTTATTCTTTTCATTTAAATGAATTTCTTGAATTAGCAATCTTTATTTTATTCTATGCCTCCTGTGATACAAAGTCAATATTATCTTTATATATACGGAAAAATAATTATCCTTGAAAACATTCGTTGGTGTTAACAAATCATAAAAATATTACATTTATTTCCCATTATTCGCATCGCAGTAAAAGTAATTGAAGTAATTGATGAGCAGGAATTTATTTAAATAAATGATGAGAAATTTTTTGATTTAGAAATATTCCTTGGGAAAATAATTTCCCTAAAGTATATCTCCCACGTCACTTAATTGGTCATAAATTTTACCATAAAGGACTATTGAGTATGATTAATTTATAAATTTTATTGCTCGGTTACCATAATAAATTTTCCTGACGTTAAGTCCCGCAGCGATGTATTAATAAAATATCTTATTTTGAATAATTTTAATGACAGAAATATATTAATATAATCTAAATTCCAACGAAACTGCTCGGTGCCGGAGTCTCACCTGAGACCGTGAGGGGTGGTGCGATGTTGGCGTTAGCGAAGCGTCGCGTGCGTCCGTAGCGCGCACGAGCGAAGATCTTGAGCACCAGACACAGCACTGCTGAAAACATAGACAGCGCCAGACCCATGCCCAGGAACGAAGGCATGTCGGCCTTCAGCATCTCGATGCCTGCGCAGCCAGGAAGAGGTTAGTGAGACCCATGCCCAGGAACAAGGGCATGTCGGCCTTCAGCATCTCAATGCCTGCACAGCAAGGAAGAGGTTAGTGAGACCCATGCCCAGGAACGAAGGCATGTCGGCCTTCAGCATCTCGATGCCTGCGCAGCAAGGAAGAGGTTAGTGAGGCCCATGCCCAGGAACGAGGGCATGTCGACCTTCAGTATCTTGATGCCTGCACGGCAAGGAAGATGATATAAGATGTTCACAAAATTGATTTATATTATTAAATTTTGCTATAATACTGGCTATAAACCAAAAAACTGCGTTGCAATTCATCGCCGCTACAACATTTCTTCTCGCTTCGAGTTACCGACATTTGGAACAGCCTCCCCGATTACATTGTTGGCGCTCCGAGTATGAAAGCGATCATGAACGGATCATATGAAGCTATTTGATTTTATTTAATTAAGTTAGTACACATTAAATACCAATATTGTTTCAACATACGAACATTTCCTCATACGAACCCAGTCACGGAACGAATTAAGTCCATAGGTCGAGGTATCACTTTACTACACTGTGCGCCAATAAAGAACCACTCACCCGCGAAGCAGATATTGGGTGGGTGCAGCCCTGTTATATGCCGCATCTCGTATCCAGGCTTGCAGATGCACTGTCGGTACGAGTCCAGGTCGAAGTTGCACTCCGTGTTGTTATCGTAGTGACGACACTGTATGTCCTCGTCACATCGGTCACCATACAGCAATGCTGCAAGAGATGTTACCTGTTATTTCAACTTGCTCGCTACATGAAGATTAACTAACAGTTCTCATCATACCAGCAGGGGCCATACTTTCAAAACTCGCTAAGTGATCGTAATTACCTACGCTCTAATTTCTTGTCTATGATTGGTGGATTTTGCTTGAAAGGCCGTCAATGATTGGCTGATGAACTTACGATCTCTTAACTTTTTTTGAAAGTATAGTGAACGTAAGTACTTACGCTTTATTTTCTTGTCTATGATTGGTGGATTTTGCTTGAAAGGCCGTCAATGATTGGCTGATGAACTTACGATCTCTTAACTTTTTTTGAAAGTATAGGCCCGCCGGTTAGTTGGAGGCATCTATTATTGTAATTTATAGTACAGAAACTTCAACTCATTCAGCATGCCATGTATGTCTAAGAGAATTTTGCACTAAACAGTGGTTCAACATGGTAAACTAGGACGTATATATTTTTCAACTCTGCATTTGTAGTGAACGTCTCGAAAATTTATTATTTCATTTTGTCATGAATTTTAAAATAATGCATGTACAGGACAATTATAAATGTACCTAGTTAGCCTGCACATACGTCTGGTGACAATATTAAAATAAAATAGAATTTCACAATTCGAAAAAGATCAACAATGTTTGTCAAATAATAATCTAGACTTTCCCTAAAATGCAACACTAACCCGAGATGCGGATCGTAGCCGATTCATTCACTTGGCATTTCTTTGTTAACTTGAGAGCGGATAAAACTGGGGTAATTGGTCTGAGCTACTCTTCTAATGGCCTCCCTCAAATGTCAAGATTTAAGAAAAAAAATTGAAAGCATCTCTCCTTGTTTGAAACACCCTCCTGATATCTTAAAAATTTGTTGGTATCATTTTGAAACGTGTTTATGAACTTTGAGGCTAAAATAGCGAGATCCCACACATGCACTTCAATGTTTTTATTTCAGAAAGACGCATAAACATCGAATAATTAAACATAATACAATGATACACATTACAGTAGAAGGAAAGATCTGCCCCATGGAGCCTCAGCTGTAAGTTACTGTATGTCCTAACCGATGACTAAGTTCATTTCATCTCCAAATTCAACATTATATTATTTTAACCGAATGGCACATTTCAGCCTGTTTGAAATTAGATGCTATCTTATTTAATGTATAAAATTTTTCCTAGCTTATTCTTGTGCTAGCTTGAAATTGCATCTTTCGAACTCCAACTCAAATTTGTCTTCAAAAGATTGCAGCGCAGTCCTAGGCGTTGTCTCTCTTGGGTACTTGGTCAGCTAGCAATTTTGTTGTTGGTGTGAGCGCTAAAGAATTTACGAGGCATGACTGCAGAGTAAGGAAGCTGGTCAAAATTGTGTCTGCAGCTCGTTCGTTTCGAGTTAAAATTTTACGTTCAATTCGTAGCTTGCGTATTGACGTGGTTTAAGTTTTTGTATTGATGGCAGTCAATATTAGATTTATACAGGGTGATTCACGTATCTTTCCTGATTTGAAAGCTAAATAAAAAAGAACTAGTAAAGACATCCTTACAATATAAATTTTATTAAAAAATACATCACTGAATATTTGTATTGTTTAGTTTCAAAGATAACATAGGAAAAATGACGGCCTCCATGGTCAATGCATTCAGATTTTTGAAGTTACGTTCAACTCGCTGAAGCATTTTGACGGGTATGTTGGCGATGGCTTGGAGTATGTTGTTCTTCAAATAAGATAGGGTTCTTGAACAGTCCTTTGTAAACAATTGATTTAATATAATTTGTCTTGAATGTGTTCACCCACGTAATAATGGATTTCTGATTAGGAACCATACCTGAAGGACCCATTCGGATCCGGGTACGGAATGTTCATTGAGAAGCTATAATGAAACGGCCATTAGAAAAGCGCTCCTCGACAGCAAGCGCACCCTACTCACTTGTCCAAGCAAAGTGGCAATTGACTAAGCGGGAAACAAAACTTCATAACCATGCCTTTCATATGAAATGCTCCTTTTTTTTCTACGAAATCAGGCTGCTTGGTGCGAAATACAGTACAGGGACATTTTGTGAATCACCGTGCAGTAAATAATACGAAGCATTTCGCCCAGGATGTGTTCAGATTCGTTAATGAAGGTAATTAAAATTAATCGGGCCCTAATCGGGCCTAAAGTCTTCTGTTAACCCATCGGTTGGATAGTCATTTTATAGAAATATGCAGTTATTCTATTAAATGTCTAGGTTATACCTTTACATTCATTGTAATATTCTTCAGCATTTGGAAGGCACTTATTTAAACCTTTTATATACAGTATCTATGTCACTAAATTAGCATGAAAATTTTCGAAAGATAATTTGCATGCTTGGATCGTCTAAGATGAGATGAGATTTATCGAGCTGTTTGGTTTAACGCCTCAGGTAACTAGTACCCTGAGTTCGTTCAGGGACACTAACCAAAAGCGATGCTGCAAGCACCACCTTTTGTCGACCAACCTCTGGAGCAGGCCTTGCTGTGCTGCAGCTTCACAGGATGGTGGTGACGACAGACGCACGTTCCGTTCACGCATTCTGTGTTCGAGGCCGCAGAGCAGGCGTCGGTGCAGCGCTCGTACAGACCCGGCATGTTACCTGAAATATTTTACTGTGCTATTACTAAAGTCTCGTTGAAAGAGTATAGGCATTTTGTAACGTAGTTTCACGTAATTACAGTATTTATACTTTTGTACCGTAATTTCGCTTAATTCCAGTATACGTATAATTTTCTGTAATATTGAATACATTGTTCGCAAACCCCTATGCTGGTAAAAAATATTGTACACCTCAAGTTTTATTGGTTAAATATTTGCGATTAATAAGAATGAAACCAATTGATACACTTGACATTTCTTCTAAATTAAATCTGATGTTGCATTTCATAATTATTATTTTTACGATACTATTTTTAATTCTATAGTTAACTTCACCTCAGCTTGTAAAAACAGTGCTGATGTTCGTTACCTTGATTAATATTAATCATATCTGCCTCAGTAACTGACCTTTACTCATCGCATTGCTGATCGGTAGCGAGATTTCTTGTTTGAGTGGCAGCGGCTGCGCGGCGACATGGGGCGGGTGCGTAGCGAGACTGTGTGCCGCGCTGTACCGCGTCAGCAGCGCTACGTATACGAGGCTCTTCAGGAGGTCTGTTAGGGAGCTGGTGCGTCTGGTTGTGGTTATGTTGCGGTGTGTTGCGGTGCTGTTGCGGTGTGTTGCGGTACATTTACGGTCTGTTGCACTATTGCTGAAATTTCTTACGGTATTGTTGCTTTGAGTAATATTAATCGTATCTGCCGTATTTATACGATGTGTAGCGAATTTTTTGCGGAGCGGTGCGGTTTTGTTGCGTTTTTTCCGGGCAAAATATCGGTACGATGCGATATTGAAGAGGCGTACGAAAGTCCCTATGGTGTTTAATTTTGTTCTGGCATTCATTGGCACAGTTTCACTGCTTATAGGATGTGCTGCAAAGCTCATGTTTCTGTATATTTGTTTATGACAGTAAAATGCTTTGAGATGCACAATTTCCAACGGCACCTGCTGCTATCTGCTTGAAGGCTGGTGAGGTGACGTTATAACTTGATCGTGGTCATCGTTATAATTTTATCGCGTCCAATAATTAAATCTTAATCTTTATTCCGAAAAATTATCATTATCATTTGAAAATTATAATTATCCTTAATCATTTTTCAATTTCTATCGGAATGAGCAAATTTTATTCTTTTTCTTCCTTCTTTGGAGAGAAGACTACAAGTTATGTTGATGCCTACAGCGATACTTTCTTCAAATAGACTCATTTACTTAATTAATTTTTCTATTGATGCAATTGCATCACTTGCTATAATATTCGCAGAAGGTAGAAGACAAAATTTTTATGTCTGCATGCAGAAATTCTGCTTATGTTATGTTATCATGATATGTTTTTATGTCTGCATGCAGAAATCTTGCTCATGTTCAAAGATAAAATATCTGTTGATAGTGATAAGAAAAATGCAAGCAATGATGAGTGCGCAATCTGAAAAAAATAAGATGCACTTGCGATTGGGTTTCATTGATTTTGTTTGTGGTGTGTTGAAACATAAAATAAAACTGTTAAATTCAGATTTAGCGACTTTTGATGATGTTCAACTTTTATTCTTATGTATATCTCGATGCTTGGTTGATGCAAAAAGATATCTATCTTTTGATATAATAAATCTTGTAGATTTTTAAATAGATTTACAGTGTTGCTTACACAAAATGACGAATAACATATAATGTTCAATAACATCCGATGTTGATTTTCAGTTTCCGATGATTTTGATCATCAACATCATCAAAGCAATGCTCACTATATATGTTCAACGACGCTTCAAACTAACAACCTTTCTATCTTGGTTTTGTTCAGTCTTTCGACGCATGTTTGCAAGTTTTGATCATCGATGGAACATAATCGATTTTATTTAAGTCGTTTGGATTCGTGATTGATGGTGCATCTCAGGTTTATAATGATAACCAAATAACAGCTTTTAATAATAATTACAATAATTTAGATGAATAATTAACCTCGACGGTACTTTAAAATTCAAAGATATATAGATTAAAATTTTTCCATGTGTGCTTTAATTGAAATACGATGGAAAATACTTAGTAATAGCATCGTTTATTTATTAACAAAAAAAAAACGAAAGTATTATTCCAATATTTTTTTAATTAATCTTTTTCATCAGTATGGACAGTAAAAACGAATTTTGTACGGGTATGATTCCACCAACTGTTTTTTTTCTGATGACAATGAGCCAATAAGAAAGTTTTTACAGAATTATTGTGCAAATGAAATAATTAATGAACAGTGAATTTATTTTATTTGAATATGGAAATTACTTAATTTTGTCACAGAAAATCATTAGTCCAGTCCCACTATTATCACGGAGGAAACAATATGTAGGATGTAGGCAATGTCACTCAAGAGAACCACTTTAATGCTTAATTTTTTTCAAGATACGACAATTTCCCATCCCCTTGAATTTGGCACAGCACTACAAAATGAGTTTTTCCTCGATATTTCCAGCAGATTTAGCTCAATTCTCGTTCTTCTCTGACCAAATTTGGCCGTGAAGTTTGGTTCAATAGGAACACATCGCAATGAAAGAAAGAATATCACTAACTAAATCAGGAGTTTAATAATTATTTTCCTGGAAGCGAACACATGAAAGTAAAGTGCGCAGGCCACATCCACCTCGACGCAGCTGCAGTTGCAGCTCTACTGGAACCTGTGCTCAGCTGCTCTCTCTTACAGCTCTTTCCCTTCTTATCCCTGGTCTCTCCTATCGATCGAAAGGAATTTCCTGCCCTGTGCCGAGCAGCTCTCGGCGCGCTCCATTTCAACCGTAATACATCTTACAGCTGCCACGTTTGACCCTGCAGCTGATGTATAACTGCAGCATTGCGTGCTTCTGTCACAGCTGCACTTTCCGTTACGTGCATGTGTTACAGCAGCATCTTCCATTACGTGCATGTGTTACAGCAGCACTTTCTGTTACGTGCATGTGTTACAGCAGCACCTTCCATTACGTGCATGTGTTACAGCAGCACCTTCCATTACGTGCATGTGTTACAGCAGCACCTTCCATTACGTGCATGTGTTACAGCAGCACCTTCCGTTACGTGCATGTGTTACAGCAGCACTTCCGTTACGTGCATGTGTTACAGCAGCACCTTCCATTACGTGCATGTGTTACAGCAGCTCATGTGTTGCAGCAGCACCTTCCATTACGTGCATGTGTTACAGCAGCACCTTTCATTACGTGCATGTGTTACAGCAGCATCTTTCCATATGCCTTTGTCTTGCTAAAATCCGCATTTCTTCTCGATTAAAGATGTAAATGAGAGCGACTTTAAATGGTTGTTTGTTGAAACATAGTTGAATAATTTTTGTTCCATTGAGCATTGATCAGCGTATTGAGTAAAAAAATTATTGTTCGTGTTAATGAATTGATAAATGCCATCAAGCGTTTATTGTTGACCATTTCTATTTTATATAAAATTTTTTCTATAAAGTTTTGTCTTAATAATCTCAGTGACGATGAATTGCTACGGCTTTTAATTGCACAGTTGACTTGATAATGTAAGTGCGATGATTTTCACCAAATAAGTTTACTATAATTTCGCCATCATGTAAGAATTAATGGTGTTACGTTGAGACCAAAGGACAGCGTTCCAACTTTGCTTACTTTGGTGACTATAGGTTATTTTAAACATTTCTAGAATTTTCAATTAGTATTATATAGGACAAATAGTATTTAATTAGTATTAGGAGAAAAATAAACAGCACGCAGTTATCATAAACTATGTGGAGAGCAAATGAATAACAATATTACAATATTTTTTTAAGTCACGTTGTTAGAATTTATTATGTAGTATCACATGGGAAATTTACGTTGGATTTAAAAAATTAGGAAAAGGGAAATAAATTCACTGTAATTTAATTGAGAAAGTTTTGGAGGCCAGCTCCACAGTTTTAAAAACTTTAGGAATACAAATGTTAGTTATCAATTGATCGACCGAATATATATATGTACCACTGACAACTTGAAATTTAAATAGCCAGATAAGCTGACCTAGCAACTTGGAAACCTGACGCTTAAGAACTTGAGGAAAATTACAATTATAAGAGTAGTTGAATGAATTTCAACTACTCTTTCTACTCAACTACTATGAATGAATTTCTACAGTAGTTGAATGAATTTCTTCTACTCAAACACATGAATTTCTTTCAAAAATATGCAGCAATTCAAGATCCTACAATTTGAAGCAACAGAGATGAGACCTTCCATCTTAAAATCGCTCTCAGACAAAGGTATTATGGGCCAATGATTTTAAATATTTTTCTTCCGTATTTAATAAACTATTCCTGCGCAGATGCGGTGACTGTGGTTTACGAGTATATTTTTGTGCAGTGCGCTTACTCTTTCGCAGGAATGGAGTAAAGCTTCTTTATACACCAGGGGCCATTCTTTCGAAACTGGCTAAGTGAGCGTAATTACTTACGCTCTATTTTCTTGTCTATGATTGGTGGATTTTCCTTGAAAGGCCGTCATTGATTGGCTGATGAACTTACGATCTATTAACTTTTTTGTGAAAGTATAGGCCCACCAGAACTCCACGCTATCGTTCTGGGCCCATACTTTCATAAAAAGTTAAGAGATCGTAAGTTCATCAGCCACTCGTTGACGGCCTTTCAAGCAAAATCCTCCAATCATCGACAAGAAAATAGAGCGTAAGTACTTACGTTCACTTAGCGAGTTTTGAAAGTATGGCCCCTGGAGTTCTGTTGGTCCACTAGCCCCATTCTAAAGCTCGTCTTCTCGCAGAATAATGCGAGGTGTCCGTCTTTGGGAGCTGTTACAAATTTTTTTAGTTTCACCTCCTGTGGCACAGATTTATTAGTCTGGAAATTGCTTCATATCATTGAACAAAATTATGTCTGAATAAAACGTGCACTTCCTGTCTGTGAAAGGAAGTGAAAATGCAACAGATTTTTTCTGCTGCGTTGCATGATTATCTTACTATTTATTGTTTGAATTTGGTCTTTCTCTTTACTACATTCGTATATTTGATTTTCTGAAACTGATGATGGAATTGGCTTCCAAAAAGTATTTAACGAGATTGTGATAAATTTGCTTGAAACTTACTCTGCTTATGAAACTTTCTTTCAAGCCATCTACCGCTGTTAATAATAATCATGTCATAACATATGATAGATGAAATTTCACTGTGTGGCTTCTTTCCATTAATGATGATCGGTATTTTCTCCGAAAATAATCCCCAAGAATTTAAAATAAAGTGAAACGATTAGAATTTGAAACGATGCAATAACTTCGTATGCTGGAAGAGAGTGACTGCACGCTTCAATAGTACGAAATGAAAGCAATGAGTAAAGCAAGTGATATCTCTCGAAGGTAGAGTTGAATTGTACGTACATTATTTGCTGGTTTATACAATGCCTGTTTATACAATTCGAGACTTTCTATTAACGAGCGGTGCGAGCTAATAAACTTGTAAAGACTGGGAGGAAATTGTTTCTATCGTGACTAACATGATTTTAATGACGAAGAAATATTATAAATGGTCATGGAACATTTTTAAAGCTGCAAAGTAACATTTTTCGAGCATAAATAATGTTTTTAAACTACGGAGTTATCAGATGAATGCGTGAAAGTTTAAAAAAAATTCGATAGAAGAAGCGTGGCAGGGTGGCCCAGTGACTAAAGTTCAGAGTACCAAGATTTGTGCAGAGAGGTGCGGGTTCGATCCCAGCTCTGTGTGCCTGTTTCTGGTCAGAATCGGCAAGGAGGCCGGGCGGTTAAGCACGGCAGAATTGTAGCAGTGAGTTGCGAGTTCGAGACCGCAAAATGCTATGAATGTTCTGCGATGTTAAGAATCGGCGACAGGCCTACGGCCTAATAAACGCTGAAACCGCTATTATTATTATTATGCGTCAATAATAATTGAGTACGAGTTGTCAGATAAATAGAGAAGTGCTTTAGTAATTCATCATTTGATCTAAATTCATTAGGATTCGTTATAACAAAATGTTTTGGCGAGAGTGAATTTTTTTTATTTTTCATCGTAGGCGTGGACTGGAAAAGATAAGTCAGTTTTTAATATCTTTATTCGGTGTATTAGAGATATTACCTTATAAGCGTTTAACAGATACTTCATAAAACAAGAAGCAATGGAATCAAACAAGCTAGCTACTTGATAAATATACCAATATATTATATTGACTTGGATTTAAAAGCAATTGAGTGCAATGAATAAGATGCATCTTCCTACAAGCTTGAATAATAGAACGACATTCTTGCGAACGCAGCCCAAACATCGAATAAAATATTATCTAGAAACAGACTTAAGGAGCTAACTAATTAAAGGCTAATTATTAATTAACTAATTAATTTAAGAGTGCTTCTAATGCTCGTATATAAGCAACACCCAACGAAGACCTTATTCTAGAACCTAAATAATATATTTCGAAGTGCTCGAACGATTCACTATTCAACGAATCTTTTCTATTTCAGTCTAGCGCACCGATTTGGGAAATAGTGGAGAAAAATACATTATGGTAAACATTAATTAACAATAATGAGCTCATTGCTTTAAAAATGAAATTGAATCAGTCGTTATGACGGAATATAACGACTAATTTTGATGACTTGTTCGATATTAATTCGTAAATCTACCTCTATCATGAATTTTCAGAATTACCTAATAAAACTACTCAGTTATTTAAAATAATTGATAACGAGATAGTGGATCGAATCTACTACTAATCTGCGAGTTTTTACCAACTGTAATTTATTTTGAATATAACCATTCTTATGTTTCCCACTCATAAATATATATTTTGTATTTAAATGACAAAATGTATATTTGTATCTTGTGCTGTTTAATGAAAATTTTCCTCGCCCAACGTACCTCCGTCTATTGTTCAGATGTAAATAAGCATACAAAATCAATCATTATTATATTATGCGCATTATTTCTAGATGAACGTCAACATTTTATAAAATACTGTCGATGGTATACGCAATTTAAAAGTAGATTGCGTGAAGATAATGTCCGTATGAATATAAATGGTTCGATGCTATACGCAATTTAAAAGTACTGTAGATTGCGTGAAGGTAATGTCCGTATGAATATAAATGGTTCGATACTATACGCAATTTAAAAGTAGATTGCGTGAAGGTAATGTCCGTATGAATATAGATGGTCTTGATAGGAGTAATATAGTGAGAATGAAACGTTATGTACAGGATCTTGGGACAATAAATATATATCTATAGCATGCAATTTATTTTCAATAGAAATATTATTCTAGTCTGAGCTTGGGCCTTGTTATTGTGCAGCACTGAGACGAGGGAAGCAGTCATTTTCAGTTGAAAAATTTGATTTTAATTAATAATGAAGAAATTATTTGAATTATTTGCAAACTGACTTTACAGGATGTTGTACATGCATTCAAAAGCACATTTCAAACTTATTGTAGGAAAGTTTGTGTTCCCGTTTAGCAAGGTTTGTTTTGCAGTTTTTCTTAAATCACAAGTTGTAGACTAAATATTTTACTAAATTTTCTACTTAATTATGAAGCCATCGATTTGGACAAAAGCCTTACGGTTTTTTCACGGGAGTGTGGTCATTTTTCATCAACTTGGATTATGAATGCAACCATTTAAAATATTATAATTAAGAAACTATGATGTATTAGTAAGGACTTGCATTTTAATTAGTACATTATTAGGTATTATATGCGTACAATTTATGACCAGAGAGTGCATTTGAATTTTCAAGGAGTTGAACAATTCTTAGATGACGTTGGTAGATCAAAAGGCAGATTTAGCAAATAATAATATATTAACGACGTTTCGAATGTAGCAACATTCATTTTCAAGTTAAGAGAAGCATTGAATAGTGAAATTTGGTTGGACATGAGTACATAATATATGTCAATAGGATACAACACAAAAATTTCGAGCCAGAAAGTCCTTACGCAATCAATCTCAAATTTTATTTTAGACAAATCCGGTAGCTTGGAAATCGATAGCTAGGGTCCAATTCAAAATTAAGACGGTTCCAGCAATCGTTGGTCGATTAATGTTGTGCACCTCCGCATGATGACGCTGGTGGGTTTCTCCAGCACGGTGCGAGCGACAGTCTTGTGAGTTTGTCTCAGGGGGCTTCTCTGCCCTTCAGGTTGAAGATGACAGGTGAGACGGTCTCAATGTCGTGGTTGTTAGTCCAAATACTCCAATGTAGTCCAAATGATGAAGAAGTCTACAACCTTCTTTGAAGCAAAATTTATGAACTACACTGGCCTCATTGAGAACTTGAGCTTTTTGTCGTTAATATATTATTATTTGCTAAATCTGCCTTTTGATCTACCAACGTCATCTAAGAATTGTTCAACTCCTTGAAAATTCAAATGCACTCTCTGGTCATAAATTGTACGCATATAATCAAGAAATTTCTGCCATCTTATAATAATTTATTAGGTATTAGTAACTGTCATGAGCAGATGGGATAAGTTAGGGCCCACAAATAATTTTAACGCTTCTCGAAATCATTTTTGGGTGTACCCTTGAGCGTTTGTCTAACTTATTATTGAAATAACGTTCCAATATTTTTGAATAAAGCCAATCGAAGTTTTTCCCATTTCGGGCGTACTTATATGCCGGTAGCCCTACGCTGCCCCCCACGTCTCAGTTCCGCAGAGTCTCTATCCATCGAAGAAGCGTGGTCAGCAAAATCCATTAGTTAGACAAAGACGCTCCATATTCTAATGGCTATACATTTATAATCGTATAAAACATTTGTGAGCTTTCGAGGATAAATTATGTTCCGCGGTGCCGAAAACTACGTCTAGAGAAAAAAAATTTATTGCCGAACAGTGGAATTCTGAGTATCAAACTAAATTGATTATATCAGTGAAGACGTATGAAATTTTTTGGTTCAGGACTCAGATGATCTCATTTGACCCCTTCAAGAATTATTAAATTGTTGAAGTGAGATTAGAACTGTTATTAATCATTAGGAACCATTCACGAGCATTATGTTTCTGACCAGCTCTCTAGTAACCCCTGTGAGTCACACCGACTTAGTTTAAAGTAAATATATTTTTTATGGATGAAAACTTATATCAACAAGTAAAGAAATTGTGAAGACCTCTATTAAGGTGCAATTCAGTGAGAAATTGGTAATGTTATGGAATTTTGTCGTACCAAATTCCATAATATTACCTCGTTTCATGACAATGAAATGTGGTTTGCTACACATTTCATTGTCAGCTTGAATTCTGCTCTAAATGAATTAATGAACATTGATGTTAATTATCAAGGGTCCCCCCTATAACTCGAGTCTCTGCTCAAATTCTCTGTCTCAACTCTAAAATAGTATTTTGGACAGCAACTAGCTTCTTTGTAATTCGCTCAATTTGAATCATCTGCAAAATCGTTAGCTTTAGAAGGGTTGTTCTCAAGCCTAGTCAGCTAGGTAATCTGCCGTGATGTGGTCTCTCATTGATTGTGTCTAGTCACTTGTCAGGTCACCTGGTCTGGTGGTAATTTGCTAATTTCCCAACACATTTCACCTAGTGCCCTCCACTCATTAGGACTATAAGCTGCTTTAAAGTACTTTGTTTGATGCACTCCGGTCGCTTATCAGATAAATTGAACTGTTGGTCGTGTCTCCGATATCTTCTGGTCAATAGTGCCATGAACAGCCATAACCTGTTGGTTATGTCAGAAAACGATTTTCCACGAGTTCACATGAACTTATAATTTCTTCGATGATCACAGCAGAATTTTTTTCAATTTGGTTGCTTGATTTAGGCCGGAAGTAAGAATTTTTTTAATTACAAAGTTCGGTCCCTCAAGAGGTTAAAATTCGGTCGATTAAATCTCATCGCAGCTAAAAGTCACGCTACGTAGGTATAAAATATAACTGCTGAAGTCTAATATTCCTATCATTATTAACTTTTGGTAAAGTTACTCCAGTACTGCTTTAGTTTGGTATTTCTCTCGTCTCCCGGAAGAGGTACGTGCACCAATAAACTATATTGAAGAACGCGAAGACCAGAGGGAAAGTGATGCGGGAGATGACATCGATCCTCTTGCTCCTGCTGGGGAACTTGGAGAGCCAGGACCTACAGCCCCTACGCTGCTGGGGCATGTGGATGGCACACTCACGTACCTTGTCCAGGGTCATACCTCCGGTGTGAGTGCGCACCAAGGGCTTCTGGAATGAAGGGTCACGTCAAATATCTTTACGTTTTGTTTTGAATATGTCATGCCCCTTCCTCTAGGAGGACCAAGGGCTTCTGGAATGAAGGGTGACGTCAAATATCTTTACGTTTTGTTTTGAAAATGTCACGCCCCCTTCCTCTAGGAGGACCAAGGGCTTCTGGAATGAAGGGTGACGTCAAATATCTTTACGTTTTGGTTTGAAAATGTCATACCCCCCTTCCTCTAAGTGGACCAAGGGCTTCTGGAATGAAGGGTCACGTCAAATATCTTTACGTTTTATTTTAAAAATGTCACGCCCCCTTTCCTCTAGGTCTAAGAAGACTAGGGCTTCTGGAATGAAGGGTCACGTCAAAATCTATTCAAGATTTTCTCTGACAATTTTAGGCTGTCATTTGAACTGAAATCCTTCAGCACCATATAAGTGAAGAATTTTCGGTTTTAATGTGAAGTGTTCAAATAAATAGAGAATAAATATTATTTCGAAACCGAAACCCACGAATGAAATGTAACAGATGAACCTTAACACAACGAGTACTAAGGAAATATGTCTTTGATTTGAATTATGTACTTCGGTGTTGTTAGGAAAGATGATAACATTACAATAAGGATGTTAGAAATCGAAAAGGACACTAAAAATTCTATGATGTTTCGCTCTGAAGGACTGTGAAAATTTAAGAAATATTGAAATTCGTATTAACCTAATACAAAGATAAATAAAAGCCTAAAACGTAACTGACTTATGGCCTGAACTTACAAACTTTACATCTGTTATAATATGCAAACATGTAAATACATGTATCTCCCAGGGAGATTTAACTTAACTGACTTTTGGCCTAAAATTAAAAACTTTACATCTGTTATAATATGCAAACATATGAATACCTGTATCCCCCAGGGAGATTTAACTCAACTTGACTTTTGGCCTAAAATTAAAAACTTTACATATGTTATAATATGCAAACAGCTGAATTCATGTATCCCCCCAGGGAGATAATTCACCATTGGGAAAGTGGAAGGTTCTTCGAAGGAGAACTCTTCCCACTGTTATAAAATGCAAACATGTGAACACATGTATTACCCAGGGAGATAATTCACCATGGGGAAAGTGGAAGGTTCTTCGAAGGAGAACTCCTCCCACTGCCGCTGCTGCCGTCGCATCTGGTCACGGTGCAGATCAGAGCGCGACGCATAGTTCACGAGAGCAAACTCCAGCAGCGCTCCGAACACGAACGTCAGGCACACACCCGTCCATACGTCGATTGCCTGGTCAGAGGGTGTAGAGTGTAGCATTAGTGGGAACTGTGGTGTGGAGGTGTGTTGAACACTAAATATAGCACGAGGTTGAGCTGTAGTGTGCAGGCGTGTTGAACACGGTGAGAATAGCACGAGTTTGAACAGTAGTGCGGAGGCGTGTTGAGCACTAAATATAGCACGAGGTTAATTTGTATTGAGGAGGCGTGTTGAACACGGTGAGTATAACACGAGTTTAAGCCATCGTGTGGAGGCGTGTTGAATTGTTTGGTGATTACTTGATATGATGAATATGATGGTTCATTGAACATTTGATAAGTGTATTGCTGATATAATTAGAAATAGTGGTTGAATTCAAAATTGAAATTAAGGCATGCCTAAATGAAGATGCGCCCCACGTTTTTGGTTTTAGATGTAAAATATTTTAACTGAAATACAAAAGACCAAGAGAATGATTCACAGACACGAAAGCGAGCTAAGAAAAACGTGGTAATATAGCAAGAGTTTGAGTTGTAGTGTGGAGGCGTGTTGAACACTAAATATAGCACAAGGTTGATTTGTAATGAGGAGGCGTGTTGAACACGGCGAGTCTAACACGAGTTTAAGCTATCGTGTGGAGGCGTGTTGAACACGATGAGTCTAACACGAGTTTAAGCTATCGTGTGGAGGCGTGTTGAACACTAAATATAGCAGGAGTTTGAGCTGTAGTGTGGAGGCGTGTTGAACACGGTGAGTATAGCACAGGTTTGAGCCGTCGTATGAAGGCGTGTTAAATGTATCAACTATAGTACGAGTGTAAAATTATGACGCTCGTGGTGAAGACGTATGAAAATATCAAGCGAGCGTACGGCAAGAGTTTAGACTGAGAAAGTGTGTACAAATGCAAAAAAATATGCAACAAACTGAATGGATGTGGGAATGGAAGGCAGCTTATGAGGAGCAATTATCCAAAGTTTTTATCTAAAAAAGTTTATTCAAAATAAGCAGCCTTTCATGATTGCGACTACCAATATCAACGGAAATAGTGTAAAAAGTCGGAGGCAAAAGTAACCGGAAATGACAATAGGTTTAAAATTGAGAGTAGCTAACGGTTGCGTGTCTTGTTTTACGAATAATAGTCCCACTTACATGTAAAGTTGAAACGAACAATAATATTATAAAATACGTTTAAAAATTACTTTTTGAAAACCACACTTCCAAAGAATCCAGTGTCTCCAATCTTAAAGATGTACCATGAATTTCTCATTTAATTTTCGAATATTATAAAAATTAATTTTTCAATTTTTTTAATATATAAAATTTTTTTAATATATAATTTTTTTCATTGTTAAATTTTGATTACAAGATTTGTAGCAGACAGACAGACAGACTGACAGACAAACAGACAAACAAGAAGTGAAGTTAAAGAGAAGTGTTGTAAAAAAATATTACCATGACCGCTGCAGGTGTGTGAATAAAGTGACGAATTGTTTAGTAGCATTAAGCAAAGATTGTTTTTGAGTCATCTCGAAAGTGAGGTCACATTGAATAGGCTGAGATTAAAAAATGTTTAAAATGTTTCCAATATGGGGAGTTCACTGGGACTGGTATTTCTCGCTTAGGTGTATGACACCGGGGGCAGGGACTGGTATATCTCACCAGTGGCAGGGACTGGTATATCTCACCGGTGGCAGGGACTGGTATATCTCACCGGTGGCAGAGGCTGGTATATCTCACCGGTGGCAGGGGCTGGTATATCTCACCGGTGGCAGGGGCTGGTATATCTCACCGGTGGCAGGGGCTGGTATATCTCACCTTGGTGTAAAACACCGGTGGCAGGGACTGGTATATCTCACCTTGGTGTATGACACCGGTGGCAAGGACTGGTTTATACCCGAGGTCTGCGTGGCCATGGTAAGCAGGGTAGTGACGCCTAAGGATACCCTAGCAGGCACCGAGTTTTGGTCCAGCCAGAAGCTGACCCAGGACACGATGACCAACATACAGCAGGGGATGTAGATGGTTAGGAGGTAGTACGAGAACTCGCGCTTGAAAAGCAGGTCCACTCGCAGGCAGGAGTATTCACCTGAGTGGTTGGTCAATTATTAGTGAAGTTGTTCTACTACATAAACAGGTTGGTTCAAATTATGGGGATGAAAATTAATTAGGAAATAATGGTGGTGAATTTTAGAATTAATGAAGTTAATGCTGGCACTTGACGTTCGAACACTAGGCCCATTAGCGAGCGGGTTATTTACCGTACCAATAATGCTGAACAATACAAAATGAAGATGAAACAACATAACTGTTTGCAACAATAACTCTATTAATAAGCAAATTTTTAAATATGATGATAATTGTTTAAATTATATTAGTAATTATTAAAATAAACAATTTAACTACAAATAATTAATTATCGATAATTGCATTGATAAAAAATGTACAAATAAAAGGGGAAAGTTTATAGGCACTGATGGATAAAATGTAAATATTGGGGATATATGGTGGGGTGCTGTGAATACGAGTGCGGTGGAAGTAATTTAAATCTTTGGAGTAAAGTACGTAGATTTTATTCAATATTTCCTAGCTGTTGCTCAGATTTAAGGTTTATCAATTTTGACACTATGACTGAAAAAATTGGTTTCTAAAATTATTTAGATTCTAAACTTTAAACCCTTCATGTTTTTCTGAATGTATTTATATATTACGTGTTTAAATGTTGTTTTAGATTACTGTATTGCTTAAGCGGGGGCTTAGCCGTCCACCACCGATATTGAACACCAATCAGCCCTGAATGGAACGCCTAGAATCTTTGGTAAGACCTCCAATCAGCCGCGGATTGTGCCATTCCAACGGTACATGGCCCGCGATACCATTCTCTTTCAAATATTCAGAGCTTAACACGTACCACCGACCAGATCCTAGAGTGCAATGACTGTCCATCCACTAAATCTTACATCGAAGAATCACATTATTCTCTTTGTAGTGCTAGAATTGTAGCGTTATTGTAAGAAGGAATCATGTTATTTCATGATTAGCTGGACAGTGATGATGACTCCTACAGTCTGTCCGTGTGAAGCATAGCGTTCATACAGACAATATAACTAATAACTTGAAATAATTTCTTACGTAGAAAAAATATGAAAGAAATAACGATAAATGATAAACAAATAAATTTATAGCTTGTCAACGAGAAGTTTATCCTAATTAATGTAAACAGGTCGCATTAACTCCTAATCTTAGAGAATAATTTAATTGAAAACTCCTGAGGCTTGGATTCCATTTTTCTTAATAACCAATCGAATTTAAAACCAAATCTAAAGTTTGTTTATATATCACGCTTTGTTCAACTATTCACCATTAGTATCTTTGTCTGATTTAATAAATTTTTGTCTGATTTGATCCATTAGCAGATAGAAAAAGAAATTAATTATTGCTGCTACGGCAGCAAATTGTCAGTGTAGCTAAAGACGCTATTAGAAAAATGGTTTTATTTTGATAATTCGAACGTGTTTTGGATGTTGCAGGTTTATCGACGAAAGTATTGGAATGATCAAATATTATTCACGTGCATTTATAGTTAATTTCATTCCGACTGAACTTAATACTTATTTAGGAACCTCATACGAATCTGCCGAATCTCTACATCCATCACTATAGTAAAGTACTCGGACAGAAACAAAATATTTGGCATCTATTTACGAAATAAGGGTAAGTTGTTCGCTAAGATGTTTTGTTGTTGCAGTACGTGACGACATAGTTCATCATTGTTGCATAATGTTCCTATTTCTAAAAGTATTGGTCCAGCAGTTTCAGTTTTCATACGCCGTTTCAGTTTTCATTTCACTCCACTCCGTCCGTGGCCTAGTTGATGCTGTTTTACATAATGTACGACTGGCCGGGGACGACAGTTTGCTAAAAAAAAAAAAAAAAAAAAAAAAAAAAAAAATACGCCGCGTTGTGTAGGAAAGTGAGTTCTAGCCTTACTAGTATTGGTCTTGCTGTTATAGTATATAGTATTTGCAGCAGAGTGAGGCATGAAAGGGTTAAGTAATCACCGGTATTGGTCTTGCTGTTGCAGTATTTGTAGCAGAGTGAGGTATGATAAAGCTAAGTAATCACCAGTATTGGCCTTGCTGTTATAGTATTTGTAGCAGAGTGAGGTATGAAAGGGTTAAATAATCACCAGTATTGGTCTTGCTGTTATATTATTTGTAGCAGAGTGAGGTATGAAAGGGTTAAGTAATCACCAGTATTGGTCTTGCTGTTATAGTATTTGTAGCAGAGTGAGGTATGAAAGGGTTAAATAATCACCAGTATTGGTCTTGCTGTTATATTATTTGTAGCAGAGTGATGTATGAAAGGGTTAGGTAATCACCAGTATTGGTCTTGCTGTTATAGTATTTGTAGCAGAGTGAGGTATGAAAGAGTTAAGTATTCAACAGTATTGGTCTTGCTGTTATATTATTTGTAGCAGAGTGAGGTATGATAAGGTTAAGTAATCACCAGTATTGGTCTTGCTGTTGCAGTATTTCGGGTAGAAGTTCTCGAGCGTGAAACGAGGCAGGTGGAGGTTGCCCGGTATCTGGACAGGCTTCTCAGCCAGCCACCTGAAGATCAGGTCTTCCGTGGTCCAGCCATCTAAAACATATTACGATATATTACTATTATATTAAACTAGTATATTATTAGTATGACGTAATATTAACTTTAAAAGAGCCTTAGAAACATCAATAACAAGCTTTTGGTGTGAATATTTTTATATTAAGTATCGAGTGTTGTTGATAGAAAGGCTCAGTGGCTTAACTGAAATTACGTAAGAAATCTGTCTTCCAGTATGCGTCTTTATCATTGTAATGATAAAGATAATAGAATGAATATTTGTCTCCAGCTTGTAACTTCCCATAAATTAGAGGATATGAAGCATAATTTTGAGCAGTGTCCAGAATATGAACGTGGATTTGGACATCGATAAATCATTATTAAGTTATGGTGGAGGATAAAAAATGCTTGATTCCAGTTTTGGTTTTGAGCAGTTGTTAAATAATCGAGATAATATCCTAGATAGTGATGATCGCTAAAAGGCTAAAATTAATCTAATAAGCGGAAAATATTGATCTCCAAACGGAACACCAAAATTTTATCTTACAATTATTGCCATAACTAGAATCAGTTTTACAAAAGCAAAGAAAAAATACTATTAAGAAAATAAGCCTTAATTTAAATTTGAGCCATTAACGTTGAATTAACAATATTATCAGAGAATCATGAATTGAATCAATGAATTATATCACCATTATTTTACTATTGTATGCATACACGAGGCAAGTAGCAGCTGGCAGAGCTGCGTGTCCAGAGGGTACAGCTGAAGGTTCATCGGACATGACAACGTCAGCGATATCCTGCACGAACAATTTTTTAGACGCATTTTGGATGCATTCTGCATGACATAATAACAAATATGTAGTAAAATAGAATTTACTAGATGATAATATTAATAACAATCTAGTACAAACTTCTTCGTAACAGATGTGAGAACTGCAACGTAGACCCCATCATTGTAGCAGGAGCAGCGATGCAGTGAAGATTAGGAATAACCAACGACGAGTACAAAGAAATTGCAAAAATAATTAGATTGAATAGACCTTCGGTGAAGGATTAAATAACTTGTTTGAAACCCTGATGATTAAAGTTATAATAATATAATACGATCAATATGGTGAGAACTTTAGGTACAGAAAACCCTTTTTTCTGAAGGGATATACAAACTGAGACACGAGGAATATATGTTTCAATGTTATATGTTTATATTAAATAATGAAAAAATATAACTCAGTACTCGCTGCAGTGAGTGATAGAGAACATATTTTCTCGTCGAAGAAAACTTGAGGTCACGGACGGACGGACAGACGGACAGACAGACAGACGGACATGGCGAGCACAATAGTGCATTTTTCCATAAATGAGAAAATGCGCTAAAAATGAATCAAATATTTAAGGTTCTAAATATTTCGCACTTGGCATTTGTAAGTAATCTCTATCAAACAATTGTGATGAAATTATTTAATAAATAACTGTGCAATTTTATATTCATAGTTAGCGGACCTGATGCTGCTTTACTGTAAATAATCTACATCAAAGAATTGAGATGAAATTTTTATTGACAATTAGCTAACCTGATGCTGCTTTACTGAGCATATTCAACATATAAGAATTGAGATGAAATTTTTATTGATAGTTAGCGGACCTGATGCTGCTCTACTGTAAATAATCTACATCAAAGAATTGAGATGATATTTTTGTTGACAGTTACCGAACCTGATTACTGTAAATAATTGAAATCAAAGAATAAATTGAGATGATATTTCTATTGATATTAGCGAACCTGATGCTGCTCTACTGTAAATATTTTACATCAAAGAATTGACCTGATATTTTTATTGATAGTTAGCGAACGAATTAAGGATTAAGATGCTGCTCTACTGTAAACAATTTACATCAAAGCATTGAGATGATATTTTTATTGATATTGTATTAGCGAACCTGGAGCTGTTCTACTGTAAATATTTTACATCAAAGAATTGAGATGATATTTCTATTGATAGTTAGCGAACGAATTAAGAATTAAGATGCTGCTCTACTGTAAACAATTTACATCAAAGAATTAAGCTGATATTTTTATTGATAGTTAACTAACCTGATGCTGTAGAGCACTCCCCCATTGGGGAATATCCTGAGGTAGACGTTGGGGAGGATGATCTCGTGGAAATGTCCCTTCTTTTCGTTCTTGAAGAACAAGTCCGGCATCCAAACTTTGTCTGGCTCAGTCAGGGTCAGGTACTTGATGCCTCCTGTGGTGTATATTCTGTGTGAGTATACCTCCTGTGGTATACTATATATTCTGTATGAGTATACCTCCTGTGGTGTATATTCTGTGTGAGTACTTGATGCCTCCTGTGGTGTATATTCTGTGTGAGTATACCTCCTGTGGTGTATATTCTGTGTGAGTACTTGATGCCTCCTGTGGTGTATATTCTGTGTGAGTACTTGATGCCTCCTGTGGTGTATATTCTGTGTGAGTACTTGATGCCTTCTGTGGTGTATATTCTGTGTGAGAACTTGATGCCTCCTGTGGTGTACAGTTGTGATTCACGGAAACTTCCTGATTTGAAGGCTTAATAAAAAAGAACTCGCAAAGATATCATTACAATAAAAATTTTGTTGAAAAAATTCATTACTTGAATTTTTGTATTATTTACTTTTAAAAGACACATTGGAAAAATGGCGGCCATATTGTCAATGCATTATGTTAGTCGATTTTTAGAAGTTCCGTTCAACTCGCTGAAGCATATTGACGGGTATGTTGGGGAGGGCTTGGCGTATGTTGTTCTTCAAATGAGGTAGGGTTCTTGGACAGTCATTGTAAACAATTTATATAAGATAATCCCATGAAAAAATCACACCGAGCCTAATTGGGGGATAGGGCCGGCAAAAGGTGGTCAAATCAATACAATTCGCCACTTGCCTAATCTATATTGAGCAGCATAAGGCAACTCATTAGGTAGTTTAACAGAAAAATAGCAAGTCTCGTTATTTAAGGTTGTTTCTTGAGTAAATGTGCCGTCACATCACAAAGAGGTGAGGCGCTCTGCATAATGTTGTCTAAGAAGTTGTGACGAACGCAGAAATGCTTCTCTAACTCTTTCAATGTTATCTGGTGTTGTGGCAGTCCGCTGACCTCCAGACCCTCTTGCATTCACACTTCAGATTGCCCTGAATGTGTTCACCCACATAATAATTGATTTCCAATTAGGAACCCGACCTGGAGGACGAATACGGAACCGAGTACGGAATGTTAGTTGAATAACGATAATGGAATGGCCATTAGAAAAGTACGCTTTGATAGCAAACGCACGCTTCTCCCTTGTCCAATGCATAGCGGCTACTAACTAGGCGGACACAAAAATTTATGACCTTGCTCTCTATATGAAAAATCTCCGCTCTTTTCTCTTAACATCTGGCTGCTTGACGCAAAATACAAAACAGGAAGTTTTAGTGAAGCACCCTGTAATTTTTCTAACTCGAGTATTCTAGTATGTTTAGAAACATGTTCGTTTTCCCGCAATATTGGTTGTCCAACACTTAAATTACTTATATAATTATCTAACGCTGCATTATTATTATTATTATTATTATTATTATTATTATTATTATTATTATTATTATTATTATTATTATTATTATTATTATTATATCAATATTTTCATTGTACCGCCAATATTATTGTAGCGTAGTCGAGGGTCGTTCCACTCCTCCCTGAATGTGAGTTGCACGCTGTACTCCTGCGCGCAGTAAAAATGTATAAATAGACATGAAAAATGTCGAAAATTTTGGGGAAATAGTCGGAAATGAGAGGAATAACGTCAGAAATGTAAAAAATCGTTAGAAATGTATCTCAAAAATGTGATAAAAAACGTCAAAAATTCGAGGAATTACGTCGGAAATGTGAAAAACGTCATAAATTCGATGAATGGTTTTGAAAATACTCATCGATTTTCAATTATTGAAGAGACAAAGCACACCGTATGTCATGATTACTTTTTTTGATTAAATTCATGTTGTTGCTGAGAACGGTAACTAAATATACGAGGGTTATCCTAAAACGATGGTTATACTTTATAACCTGTTAAAAAATGTATCCTAATAAGAACAAAAATGACTGGTGAGGACGTGAGAAATAGGTCGTGCTTTATCACTGATTTTTCAATTTCAATTTTTCGAGAAGTATATTGAATGGTCGACGATATCACTAACTAAAAGTGAAAAATTTTCATGGGGATCATGGGCGACAATTGAATTTTTCTACAAGGAAATATGATCTAAAATATCCAATAATACGTTACTTCAACAAAAAAAAAATGATTATTTTGGTTTGACGAGGAAGCCAAGTTTTTTTTAAAGATTAAAGTTTTGATTTGATTACATATTTTATATATCATACAAATATACTTGTAGTAAAGGGAATTTGGGTTTTACAGAAACCGTTACGATGTTACTTACACCATCGTTATAAGAACGAAAAATTTGGAAAAACACATATTCATAACAAACTTAATAAAAAAGTAGTTTCACTATGCAAATGTCAAACTTTCTAAAAAATTTTGCGTACAGTAGGAATACATGCAATACGCACCATGATGATTTGCAGCTTTATTCTTGCGCCAGATCGGTGTGCTATTCCCATTAGTTTTGCAACATTGACTATACACACATTTTTTGGTATTAAAATAAAACTGGTAACTATTAACTTTATTATTTAAAAATTAATACATATTAGCATTCATCGTTCATCAAAATTTGTAAGGTTTGAAAAATATTTAAAACATGGGCATTAAGTTGTCAAGACTATTAATTTTCCAGGAATTTAAAAGTAAAGAAAATAGCCAAAAAGTTCACAATTTCTGATAAGAGAAAACGTTTCGGAGTCCAGCTCCATCGTCAGTTCAAAACCTAGAACACAGGTACAAGCAATTAGTAGCCTAAAATTCACATTCAAACAATTCACCTAAACTTGAGGACATTAGAACTAAAATCGAAGATAACAGAAATAAAAATGAGATGACATGTAGAGAAAGTACTATCTATTTACAATTTGTAGAGGATAGGAACTGAATGCAGCATTTAAACTGGGTTTCTGTTTGAAAATAAATAATGATTCTAAAATTCGTAGGTCAGAAACACCGGTTGTGGAGGCTAAAACTCTAAAATCACTATTGGACACCGGGACGTTGCACTGCTCGGCATGAATACGTACGGCTGAATGAGGGGGATGCGCAAGTATGTTCCCTGTTCTATAACTCCTGCCCCTATGCTCTGCAAGCCTAGGCTATTTTCTTTACTTTTAAATTCCTGGTGAATTTGCGACTTAAGCAGCCAAGTGATTTTAATACATATTAATTTTCCTCTTACAGTGTTCACTTAATTCTAGGTCATAGCTCTAAAAATAGAATAATTCAATTAATATAAATTTAGTCTAGACATGAATTGACTAATAGTAGTGAGAGATATAGAATACATGAACTAATCAATAATGTGAGAGTAAATGCAATTACTTACATTAAGCGGGGGCCATACTTTCAAAACTCGCTAAGTGAACGTACGTACTTACGCTCTGTTTTCTTGTCTATGATTGGTGGAATTTATTTCAAAGGCCGTCAATGATTGGCTGATGAACTTACGATCTCTTAACTTCTTTTGAAAGTATGGCCCCAGGTCATAAAGTAGCAATACCTGACACACCTCAGCCCATCTCTTCGTACTAAGTTCTACTCTATAACCGGAGAATTAATACTATGACCCTAGGTACGGTGCTAGCCGCTTACAGACGTCAGCTTGGTGTTCTGCCGTAGTTTTGAATAGTAAATAATAGCAACAATATCGACAGGAAAAATTAAATACATAAAAAACGCTCCTTTCATTTTGTTCATAGTTTTTTGAGGAGAAGGTGCACTGCGTTGCGTCCAACTTACGGCTTCAGCTTAAGACTTTGAATGGTTACTGCTCTGCACGGTTCTTCGGGAGAATAGTTACTACTCTGCAGGCTTCTGCTTAGTTTGGTTCTGTTTTGCTTGGTTATTCTTTGCACGGTCATGCTCAGGGTGGTTCTGCTCTGCATAGTTCTGTTCTGCGTTCTGATGTGCCTTTTTTACGTTGCTGCTCTACGCTGGTCTGTTCTGCACTGTTCTGTTCTGCACTATTCTGTTCTGCGTTCTGATGTGCCTTTTTTACGTTGCTGCTCTACGCTGGTCTGTTCTGCACTGTTCTGTTCTGCGTGCGGATGTGCCTTTTGCGTTGCTGCACTGCGCTGGCATGTTCTGCACTATTCGTCTCTCCACGAGTCATGACAGGATCGATGGACCGAAACAATCTCTCATCAAACCCTCTCCAAAAACCCGAGCATATTTTTTTCGCGGTGATTAAATCCATTGAAATTGGTGACAGGAAGAGACTTCTAATATTCCCTGGTCCATTTGCATTGAGCAGCGAGACTGATTCAGCGACGAGAGAAGAGACGATGGGATTCAAGCATTTTATTTTGCATTGCGACGAGGCGCTTTATATTTAAACGAGGCATGAATAGCGATGAGCCAATTATTGTTCATTGAATCTAGAAATAAACCTTATAATTTTTGTTTATGGGAGCCGCGATGGCTTATTGATGACAAATGTGCCGCTAATATCCAGTTAAAATAAAATTATATACACATCAAAAATTTACAGTACAAGTTCTACCAATTTGCTCAAATTAATAACATATGCATTGGCAGTTCCTGGGACCTAAAGAATAGCTTAATTTTGCACCATATTGGAACATAAACTTTAATGCACTGAAGTCATGGCGGATGTCTTCCTCAGTAAGGAAATGAGATCACGTGGAGAATTGCTTGCTGTGCTGAAGCTTAAATGTTTGCAGAATTAAATTAGGTATACGAGATACCCGCGCTTGCTGCTTATGTTTTACTATCGATGAATATAATTAAAAATAAACGCAAAATAATATTAGTAAATTGCAGCTACGCCGTAATTCACATTATTTGCAGCACCTACGCTGACGCAGAGCTTTCCAGTTTCATAATTCATATTACGGCCCATTGTAGATATGATATATCGTAAATTATTTTTATTATAAGTTTTAACCCCATCTAACACCACATGTATATTATGATTGAATTACGCAGCTTTCATTTTCGTATGTTATGGTTATCTATTACTTCAGTTTGCTTTCTTTGAAACCGTAAATTTATTCCAGCTTATCTGCCGGACTAAACTGACACAGCAGGATTAATCGTTGCAGCATCAACCTCATCCGGCAGAGTTTAACGTTAATTTTTATTTCGTTTAAAATGTTATAGAAATTATAACTATTACATGTATTTGAACAGCCATGAAATGTCTCACGTCTTGCTTTTCTTATGTATATAATAGCGTATTGCCTCGGTGGAAGCCCTTAAAAATATTTATTATTTCTTTCTTTTAGGACGTTCTCATTCTAAAAATAATTCAGAGACGAAACAAATAATTTACTTTAATGATTTCAATATCCGAAATCCATGGCACGAATTAATGATGTTTCATACGACATCAATTGTAGCCGTTAGGAACCTGCACCGGTTCCCTGCAGTGGTTCCTCCCACGCCCCCTGCAGCGGTTCCCCCCACGTCCCCAGTAGTGGTTCCCCCCGTCCCCTGCAGCGGTTCCCCCCACGTCCCCTGCAGCGGTTCCCCCCACGTCCCCTGCAGCGGTTCCCCCACGTCCCCTGCAGCGGTTCCCCCCGAACCCCCGGCTGCGTCCCGAAGATTTAGCGACGTCGAAAGATTATTTTTTCAGTCGGAAAAATTTGCCGCAGTGGCAGCTGCACAATTTGCCGCCTCGCTTGTAACCTCTATTGTAAATCTTGGCCGATTCATGGGTGGCCATTCATTGGCCGACCCTAGGCCACCGATAAAATTTGAAAGGTATTTGAGGTCATGATGTCGCATCGCTGCCTCTCAAGCTGCATCAATACCGAGGTTATCCCCTAAAATAACATGTTCATGAGTTTTTTTTTTTAGTTTTTCTGGTTTTGCCACATTTCGAACACAATTTTCTGCTTTGACATGTGGCACTCTAATCTGTTAGAAAATTTTACACACTTTATTATTTATTTATTCAACTTCGTTGGTAGTAATGGCTGTATCTCGCGGCAAAGGCTAAAGGTGAGCAAGCTAGAAAAGTCGTAGGTTAAAAAACTTGCAGAATGAATTTTATCTTTTTTTTTGTGAATCAGGTGATCTTGATTCTAGTTTCGTAGTCTGGTATTCATTGTTGCAATAAAAATCAAATCGACTGTAACAGGAAGCTTAATCGTTAGCCCGCATTAAGATTTTTTCCCGGCTAAGCGAAAGCCAATTTACAAAAGCTTTATAAACAATGCAGCAAATAGAAAGCAATTACATTGTATTTTATTTAGGAATTTTCGGCATTGCCTTAATTAAAACTGCTGAAATTTGTGAGCGTTAACATCGCAACTCAGGAGTTACAGCGCTTGTTGGCAAAGTTGGGCTCAGGAATAAAATATATATGATAGAATAAAATAATTAATGACAACAGTCATAATAATACTGTTATTATGATAATAATAGCAATATTATATAATATATTGTACAGGGTGCGGCGCGGGAACTTACTTATTTGAATTGCGCGCCACGTGGCGGCCATTAGTCCTAGGAAGGTGGCGCCATGCGCAATATGGTGCGCGGGCTATGAAGTTTTTCGTCCACTCAGTTCAGTTGCGACCATGCAGTGGTCGAGAGAGGAGCGTTGTTAATATATATGCATAATATACTTTATTATTGTTTTAGCTTGGTCGATTAAATTTTAAATGTGTATCTGCGGAGGAAGGAAATTCATCCTTTGGAAGCGTTTTTAAATCCAACTATGCGCACATCAATCAGTAATTTTAAGAAGCGAAATGACTCGACGAAATTGCTGCAATTTTCCATGGCAGCAACAGTGAACGCCAAGTCATTAATTTGTTCATATACTTGTTTCTTGCACAGGTTTTGGATGTAAATCTTGCAGCAAATGCAGTCTTACAATCATGAATTTTTAAGAGGAACTGTTTTAAATTACTCTGAGGTGAATCTAAATTGGGATAATTATGCAAGTTTCCAGCAGTGTTCCGAAACCAGCTACTGCAGCGGCGTCCATTTCTGTATATTTGCTCAGAGTTTATCAATTTTTCTATCATTTATATTCACTTTTTTCGATTTCTGATGGACATACGAGGAGGGACCCCTTAAAATAATGGACTGACTGTGAGGTGGGCGAAATTTTGGTAGTACCGCATTCTGCCGTGTTCTATTATCGCAATATTTTTTGTGGCAATTTTTTTCGCTATCGTTGTTTTTTGATGATGGCTGATTTTCGTGAGCAACGTGCGGCCATCAAATGTTTCTTTCTTCCGTGAAAAACTGGCAAGGAAAGGCTACAGATGTCCTGCAGGGATGATGCTATGGGGAGAACGCAAGTTTTCGGGTAGTTCTTCCGCTTCAAAAAAAAAAAAATGAAATGCCAATTAATGACCAACCTCGCTCAGGTCGTCCTTCCACTTACAACATTATAGAAAATGTTGTAAAAATTAGGGACCAAACCCCTCAAAATCGATGTAGAATTTTTGGCGAACTTGCAGACCTGTCCCAAGTGATTTAGAGTTTACTTTATAAAATTCTGATAGAAGATATTGTGCGTAATTTTACGATGGATGATTTTTTATCCCTCTATGAAAGGTTTAATTGAATTATTGCCCTTATAATTCACCTGATGAGCCTGAATATGAATTGTTAGTGTAAGTTTATATTATAAATTCAAACTCGGAGTTCAATGGCCTGTAGGTCAACATCTTTTGGATTGAACGGTACAAAACCATAACACATTGTTGGAAAGACATTAAGTAATTTTCTGAGAAACTGGAATGATATTCTCAAAATTTAAATATATTTGACAATTGCTCGATTTTTGTTAGAGGTTTTTTCCATGTCCATTATTTACCATTAATAGTCATAATTTATCATTGAGGGCTTACGAAAGATGAATACGTAGCAAGAACAATTGATTCATGCAGCCACGGGTAATGTTTTTACATCGATCTTGTTGAATATATCGTCTGGTAAATATATACATATTTTTTTGCCACTTAGCCCGTGTCATCGGCATCACAATTGCGCCATATAATCAAGCAGGCTATTCTTCCGGTGAAGGAAAAGCGTTCTTTTCATGCTCGCTGACACAAGGTTGTCGCTGACCGGTGAGAATATAATGGTTTCAGTTACGTGTTGAAATTTTAATTTTTACTTAATTTATATGAATTCTTGGCTTCATCTTTAGGTGGATGAAATCTTTACTGAAAGTGGATATTCGTTCTCAACGACGTAAGTTAAGATTATACATTCATCTAGAGTAACTATTACCATTCAATATACACGATATTACGATATAAATTCCATTAAAAAAGTTTTATTGTTTGTAAATAACTTTCTTCCTTTCACATGCTGGCTACAGTGCTAAGGGGGTTGTAACAAGATGTTCCATTTATTTATGTCACTTTATTGCTTGAATCGCAAATTTGCGAAAAATTTAAATGTAAAGAAAATTCCACAAAAATTATAATATCTTTATATAAAATGTTCATAGTCCGAAATTTTGTTTTCATTTATATTTAAAGTTCCAACACTTTCTACGAAAATATGATGAATTTTGGAGAAAATTTTCTTTGCATTTAAATTTAAAGGTATACCGTGAAACACGTCTTCTGGCTGGCAATCCGACTTCAGAAGCACTGAGCTACTTGGTAGAAAATTGAATTTCTCTGAATACGATCACAAACTAAGTGAATTTATCTACGCAAATTATATTGCAATGTTTATAAAGCACGGAAAGTGCATACGCTTCAAAACACAGGCTACATTGTTGGCAAATATCGACCTATATGGTCGGCCATACCCTGGCCGCCTATAACACGCCCGTTATATATAAGGGGACAACAGATTCCCCAGCAAGCGCACGCTTGTCGCTGTTGTTGGGGAGTTCCAAACACGGCAAGTTGAGGAGGCATGAGGTTTAGGGAAGAAGAGGGCTGGGGATTTGATCCGTTCAACGGAAGGATTACTTGCAAGATTGGGATTTTGGGGGAAGATTTTGCCCACAATTCCCCTTGGGGCTTTTGGTATGACTAGTACGAGAATTTCGAAAACTGGAAGCTTGTGTTTGTATAAATAAAATCTTGTCTTCCACATGTCATTTAGGAATAACAGGCAGTGACAGGGAGCCGAAGGCTGGCCATTATCTGGACATCGGTTCAACGAATCCATATGAAACATTAAAAATAATTCAAATATACCGAACAAAATAGGTTTAATAGGTAACTCAACTATTCATAAAATGAAAATTTTGATGGCTGATCTTGCAAATTGTCAATCAAAACTTAAGTACTCAGTAGTTTTATTTTAACTAAAACACCCAAACTTCAGATGGAATAACTCAAATAATCTTAATAATAATAAAAAACTATTGAGAATTTTTTAGAAGTTAGAAGTAAAATTCGATGAAAATTTCCACGAAGGTGCGCGCTAACTTGATGATTTGCAGTTTTGTTGCATGCAATTTCGAGCAGTTTTTTTTGTGCATTTTGTTTTATAACTAATAGTAACACACGAATATTTTTTCTAGTTGTATTCCTTTATTATTTCTCGCTAGTCTGCCCTGAACTCACCATGTGGTAGTCGTCAATTTTGCTAATTGACCGCAGGAGTAGGTTGACTGTGACCAGAGTTGGCTCATCATGCGAGGAATCTAACAGTGAAAATAAGATACATGCAACTATTAGAACTGAACTTATAATCAAGGTTAATGTAATGGAACTGGGGCCATACTTTCAAAACTAGCAAAGTGAACGTAAGTACTTACGCACTATTTTCTTGTCTATGATTGGTAGATTTAGCTTGAAAGGCCGTCAATGATTGGATGATGAACTTACGATCTCTTAACTTTTTAGAAAGTATAGGCCAAGCTTAATGCAGAGGTACTGATTTGAGAGAATCAGCATCTTCATATGAATTATTGGCTTCATCTTTAGGTGAGTGAAATCCTCTTGAAAATAAATAATATAAAGTTTTAAATATTGTAATTTTGTATTAAAATATTACAGAATATGTTGCACTGAATTGACAGATTATATTGACAAATTTAGCGCTTTAGTAGCAATAAAATGGAATGTTGCATTAATGAAATTAATTTGTTATTAGCATATAATAAATTGTTTCATGAGTACCATTACTATGTATGCAGCAATAAAATAACTATGAATGAAATATCTTGTAGTTAGCAATAGGATGAACGTTAGTGGGCTGTGTGAGGTAAATAGCTTTTTACGTGAAAATAGAAAATATTCTTGAACTTTACAAATACAATTAATGTATATGAGAGGTAAATGGCTTTTTACGTGAAAATAGAAAATATTCTTGAATTTTACAAATACAAAGATAATTAACGGATAAAAAACGAGAGCGAATCTTATGAAGATTATCAAGTAAGCTGTGAGGAAGAAGCCATTAGAGAAGCTATTTCTCTCAAATTACGAACAATAAACTATTAAACAATAATGGTTTGTAGGCTTAAATTCAATCAAATAGCAGGTTGGCAGTAAAGTTAAATTGTCTAACCAGGATCGCTAAACTGAATAGTAAATTATAGCGATTTACAAAAGAATTTAATATATGTATATTTAGTAATTAATGTATAATTTAAGAATTCCTTTCATAATTAATGTGAAAAATTGTAGTGCCCAATGTTTTCAGTTAAACCATTATTAAACCATTATTTATAATAAGCCATTATGAAGCACGTTTTAACAATCAGAATAACCTTTCCAATTGACATAATTATATATAATTAACTAATTTCAAATCATTTCAATTCATTTTTGGGAATGAAAGCCGAATAATCAACACCAAACTGTAGGTCATTAGAGATTGGATGCATATACGCATTTAATTATAATTATTTTTCCATACGCGGAAAGCTTGGATTTTTCAATATATTTCAATATATTCATCCTGGGTTTTACTTTTAGCGATCCTACAAATAAAACTCTTGAATCTAACTATGAAAATACAAGCAACTGACAAAATAAGTGCGGGAACATACGTAAAGTTTAGGTAACGAACATTGTATATTTAGGGTAGAGCCCTTCCTTTAAACATGTTTGGTTAAAATAAATGCCAGTTTTATTGAGGACTTCTTTTGAGTTTAATCTCTCAAGCTTTCTGATAAGAGGTACAGTAATAGGGTCAATGTGTCTTAAAATTTGTCCAAATGAAAGGTTCGATTTTTCGATGAAAGGTTAGATAAATCCTGCGACGCGTTGCAGGATTTATCGAACCTTTCATTTGGACAAATTTTAAGACACATTGAGCCTATTACTGTACCTCTAATAATTTACACTGTACAATTACAATTTACTGTTACAATTTTTTTCAATAGGGTCAATGTGTCTCAAAATTTGTCCAAATGAAAGGTTCGATTTTTTTTGTTTATAAAGAATGGTTATTGTGACGAAGGTTAAGACTATTGACTAGAATATGATAACGATAATGATCATAGTTGTTTATAAAGAATGGTTATGGTGACGAAGGTTAAGATTAATGACTATAATATGATAACGATAATGATCATGGTTGTTTATAAAAAATGGTTATGGTGACGAAGGTTAAGACTAATGACTATATGATAACGATAACTATCAGTCCGACAAAAAGTCCCACAAAAAAGTCAGGTTGTTTATCAGTCCGAGAAAAAGTAAATTTTTCAGCTTTCTTTCTAATGACTCCGAAAGTTTTAATAATAAATGTGATTAATTGTAGAGCTGTTCACTCTAAAGATAAGGATGCATGACTGCGTAAAAACGATACGACTAATTCACTGTAAAGGCTATACAAATAAAGGTTTATTATGTTTTAAGGACACTATAGTTGACCGTCCTCTTTCAGAAAACGTTCCTGAGGCTATGGTTGAAATCAAAATTTAATTCATTCATGTTTGTCATTCTCTCACAGACAATGAGAAAGTATGATACAATTATTTTTACATTTAATTAATTTATTTTCATTCAGTTATTGCAAAATCTAATACCCCGTGGTAGTAATGTGAATGTTAACACACGATGATGAGCTTCATAATTAAAAGAGGGGGTATAATTTGTTTCTAAACAATCAATATTGGTGGTTAATTTATTTCTAACTACTTAAATAATTTTGATTGTTTGCATTCATCAAGTCAAATGTGCAATATGAAAATCAAGTGCAATTCTTATCAAGTCAAAAGTGCGATTCTTAGCCGTATTTCATGTCCTAAAGAATTTCAACTCCTGAAAAAATGAGCCTACTTCTATGCACATATTGTATGAAAATTTGCTACCATTGAAAACCACTAAGAAATACGGCGAAAGGGCAATCCGTATTAACGATGCCAGTAAGCGCTTTGATTGACAGGTAACCTGAGGGCGGTTACCTGCGCTCGTTATGCCGGTGTGCCAGCCAGAAAATTCATACGAGAAACGCTATTTTTTTTAATTTTAGCCTAATTTTAGTCGTTTTTTTCTTCTGAGAAAGTTATGGGCATCCAATCTACGTAAACGTTTTATTTATAGTAATAGTGAGCATTCGCTGATCTACTATGTCTTATCACAATATTATTATATATGGTCGTTCATCTCCGGCAAATGTATAGTCATCATGATACATTTTAGAATTTTATCTTCGTATTTCATGCACAAGATAGTCTCTGGTATAATCCACTGATATTTTCGACTGGAATATGAATGGAGTTTTAACTAACCAGCCTTCATCAAGAGTGATATTGATGGCTGCGGAGAGTGATAGAGAACATGGATGAAGGATTGATGATGGATGGAAGGCTGTTAGCGACAGAGCAGCTTTCCAATATGCGTAAAAAATTCTCGAATTTTCTGGAATTAAAATTCGAATTTTCTGTAGCTTTGGTTAAAACCTATGTAGAATGCATGTGTGGTCGTTAATAATATTAAAGGTTTTATATATTTTATGATTTTAACATACTGAATGTTGATCGCTAAAATTGCCTAAGTCTTTATCTATTTTAAGTCGTCAATAAACTGTCTGTAGATTTATAAAAATACTGAAATTATTGAAGACTATACGACTGTATTGAATTGTATTTTGGTCGTCAAAAATAACGAAAAATGTTCACAAGTAATAACACTTTGAAAATTCTTCATACTGTTCAATGCATTATTCACAGATATACTGAACATTACAGAAATGGAAAACTTTCTGAAAAATTACACAGGAACAATATATAATAATGTATAATGTGAATAATATGGAAAAAAGCACACGAACACACGAACAAAGGGAAATTTGAAATTATTGTCAGGGTAAATGAACTCAATTGGATTTACCGTCAACCCTTAGCAGCGACCTGCTGCAGATAACAACGAAGTTAAATTTTTGTGCTCTTTGGCGAAGAATGAAATATATTTAAGCTACATGTGTACCAGAAAATTACAGTTATTGACAATAACACAGTTAAAAGTTATTGTCTAGCGAATGGTTTCTGTAATGACTTTTCTTCATGGAATGATTTCTTGATAAAAATTATAACAAAATTTGGAAATTTTGAAAGACTGTGAAGGTTTTCTTCTATTTATGTCTTCTCAAGAGGTCACTTCTTCTACAAGCCTACAAGGGAGAAAATCGGCATTGAAAAAATAGTAGATACTATTTCCTTTTTTTAAATAAAATTCAACTGTGATAAATTTTAGAAAAGTTTTCTTAAATTTTACTCGTTAAATAGCCAAGAATAAATTATAATATCATATCCATGTAACGTACTAAAGGTTGTTTCACTTATGAGGAACTAAATTCAACAATTTCATTTTAGAGAAAACTTAGTTAATTGTTAAGTCCTTTGTAAATTTTGAAGATTTACAGATCACAATCAGGGTTGATTGGGTCGAATGTTTTAGTGACGTTCGTGTTGTGTTTTTATTTATTATTATGCGTATGGTAATATGCATAATAATAATAATATGCATAATATGGTAATATTATGCATAATATGCATAATATGGTAATATTATTTATTATTATGCGTTTATTATGATAATATTTATTATTATGCGTCAGTAATCCTGTTAATTAAGCAAATATTTGGTTTAAATTTCGATAATTTTCGCATCTTAAGTTTGGAATAAATCCAAACTACTTATCGTCAATGTATATCATCTGAGCGTAGAGACCACGCGTCATTTTTTTATTTTAGTATATGTTGTTTCCTATATACAACTTTGGTATAAGTTGCTTGGTATATTCAACTTTGGTTTAAGTTGTTTGCTATTTACAACTGCTCATGAAATTTGTTTGTTAAAGGCTTCATATCTAATGCGCTTTCAGTGCGTTTGATGCCATTGTTTCAAATGTTAAAAAAATGTTTTCCATTAAACGAAATGCTTAGCCTGATGTCAAATTGAGAAAAAATAAAAATATTCATGTTGTTCTAAGAATTTTTATGGCCTTTTTACTGATTTCAAACCGTCAGGATGATCAGGATGAAAAAATTTATCGTGAAAATTAATTTTAACATGAATACTGTACTATCTTTTTGATGAGGCAAATCATCTAAAACTTTAAATGAAAATTTGTCCGTCCAAAAATTTGTATTAGACTATTGCTACAATTACTAACAAATGAACAACAATTGTTGGTGAATTTAATGCAAGTAGCTGGTGAATTCATTACATTAATTAGTTAATTAAAATAATTTAAATTAATTAGAGAATAAAAACATTTTGAGTAATCAATAAAAGTATTTTAATTAATTATTTTTGACAATCAAAATAATTAAAATATTCTGAGTAATAAATTAAAGTATTTTAATTATTTTTGACAGTCGTACCTGTACCGTTGATACCAGAAGGTCTTATGCGCTTGTCGTACACGCCTTCGCCCAGGATCTCGTCGAGCTTCTGCTTCTCTTTCTCCCGCCAGTTCTGGTTACTGCCAGCACGGTACGGCCCGCCCCTGGCCAAATAATGCCATTTAATGGCATTGCGTTAAGCTCCAAAATGAAATTAAAAACAATGTACATGAATATTTAATTTTCGTACTAAATTCGATGTGGAATGGCATTACATTGAGCTCCACATGCAATTAAAATACAATGTAGATGGATATATAATTTTTCGTTGTAAATTCGATATGGAAGTTTACTTCAAGTCATCGCAGTAACAACTTTTATTTATTTAAATGATTGCCACGTGCTATAGAAAGTTAAGGCTGGCTGCTGGTCAAATAATGGCATTTAATGGCCACGTGCAATAGACGTTAAGGCCTGCTTCTGGTAAAATTATGGCATGGCCTCGTGCAGTAAATTTTATGGCCTACTTCTGGTCAAATAAAGGCATTTAATGGCTAGGTGCACATGACGGAGTGGCCGGATTCTGGTCAAATTATGGCATTTAATGGCCACGTGCAATAGAGGGTAAGGAATGTAACAGCTTTTTTTATTTATTTCACTTAATATCTGAGCAGTTTCAATAAATAGTAATTTACTTTTATTTTAAGAGGAACATTCATGCAGTGCCCTTACCTTGCACTGACCGACAGAGCCATCATGGCGCAGAGCAGCACCAGGAGGCTGTACAGCGCTGGCCAGTTGGCTGGCTTGGTCCTTCTTGACGCTTTCCTTATTTCTTGACCTACAGACTTAGGATCACTTTGGACTTTGTTTACAAAGTCCTTATCGTATTTCTCACATCCTTCATAAGGACTTGCAGTTGAGAAAGTGCTTTTCCTCATGAGATCCATCCTCTGCTCGTCGTCTGTGGTGAAAAATCGTTCTTTTTTGACATCAGTGGGTAAGTTAGATAGACGTTTTGCCTCCTCAGGGGCTAAGCCCAAGTTTCTTTCCAATCTTCCGGCTAAGAGAGGTGGCACAAAGCTAAGACTCTCAGAGTTCCCCGGGGAAGCTGGATCTTCTTTGCAGAGTCTTTGAGATAATCTCGGTCTTAGGACGCACGACTCGCCCACTGACTCCACTTCGAGTCTTACTCGCTTGCTGTCTTGCATAGACGCACATTTTCTCGTCTTTATTGAAGAGTGTAATAACCCAGCCTGAGGCCAGGGCACGAATTGATGTTTCCGTAGACAGTTTCTGTGGTGCCGGGTGACATCTTTCGGTGCAAAATCGTCTTCATTTGACTCCCGACGAGCATTTGAGTCTACAAGCTTCCAGGACCGAATGTCCTTCCCCATTCCAGCGAAGACTGGGACATGTAAGGATGAAATTTGTTTCTTAGAATCCACGGTTTCCCCACGGCAGGTTTCTCCAAGTTAAACACAGATTTCCTCACTTGTAGCTCCCGATTTCTCTGCAAGAACCCAAATTTACGAGATAATATAATTTGCAGTCTTATTTAACTAAATTGTTTTTATGTATTTACATGACTATTAATATAAGGTAGAACATTAAACTATGTGCTAATTATCATTGCAATTTGGAAAATAAATGAGCATGCGTGAAAAAGAGTCACATTTATTCATACAATTGATAACTCCTGAGTAGGCAGTTTCGTTAGAATTTCACTTAACTTTTTTTTATTTAATATTAAAGAATTCAGGAGCAACTTATCAGAACTGCCACCCATGAGCAGATATCAGGGACGGTCTTAGGAAGAATATTCTGGATTATCCATTCCTTGGAAAAAAAATATTATTCACAGATGAAATGAGAGCTTCTCTGTCATAACAAATACCATCACAGAAGATTGCATGTTCTTCAGTCAGACATATTAGCGCAGAGCCACACACGTTGTGATATGTAAGTAATGCGTATAATGTAAGTAATGAGAAATGCATAATGTGTAGGTAATGAGAAATGAGTAATGTGTAGGTAATGAGTCTTGGGTAATATGTACGTCATTCGTGATATGTAAGTAATGGGTATTAAGTAAGTATTGAGAAATGCGTAATGTGTAGGTAATGAGTCTTGGTTAATATGTACGTAATTCGTGATATGTAAGTAATGCGTATTATATAAGTAATGAGAAATGTGCAATGTGTAGGTAATGAGTCTTGGTTAATATGTACGTAATTCGTGATATGTAAGTAATGCGTATTATATAAGTAATTAGAAATGCGTAATGTATAGGTAATGAAAAATGTGTAATGTGTAGGTAATGAGTCTTGGTTAACATGTACGTAATTCGTGATATGTTGGTAATAAGACACCGATAATGTGTAATTGATGAGTAACGCGTAGTCTTCACTCACATGAAGTTGAGCATATTATTCTTGAACTTATTATCCATCAAAATTACTCTATAATGTTAAAAATCAGAGTCAAATTCAATATTTCCTAAAGAATAGTCTAATTTATAGCCAAAAGGAGCATTATATTTTATTAAATAAGTATTACTATTGTAAATAATAAATGCGTAATATTCATCTCAGAAAACCCTTGACGAACGAAAATAGTGAAGCCTCATTGATGACGCTGACGTGGTCAATATTTGACAGTCTTATATGAGGGTTGCGAGAGCAGCGGTATATAAGATGGCAGTGCGGTATATAGGAAGGCAGTGCGGTATATAGGATGGCAGCGCGGTATATAGGATGGCAGTGTGGTATATAAGATGACACTGTGGTATATAGGAAGGCAGTGTGGTATATAGGATGGCTGCGCGGTATATAGGGTGGCAGTGCGGTATATAGGAAGGCAGTGCGGTATATAGGATGGCAGCGCGGTATATAGGATGGCAGCGCGGTATATAGGATGGCAGCGCGGTATATAGGATGGCAGTGTGGTATATAAGATGGCAGCGCGGTATATAGGATGGCAGTGTGGAATATAGGATGGCAGTGTGGTATATAGGGTGGCAGTGCGGTATATAGGATGGCAGCGCGGTATATAGGATGGCAGTGTGGTATATAGGATGGCAGCGCGGTATATAGGATGGCAGCGCGGTATATAGGATGGCAGTGTGGAATATAGGATGGCAGTGTGGTATAAAGGGTGGGTGTGCGGTATATAGGATGGCAGCACGGTATATCGGATGGCAGTGCGATATATAGGATGGCAGTGCGGTATATAGGATGGCAGTGCGGTATGTAGGATGGCAGCGCGGTATATAGGATGGCAGCACGGCATATAGGATGGCAGCACGGCATATAGGATGGCAGCACGGTATATAGGATGGCTGCACGGTATATAGGATAGCTGCACGGCATATAGGATAGCTGCACGGCATATTGGATGGAAACACGACATATAAGATGGCAGCACGACATATAGTGATGATATAACATGTCTGCACGGTATAAAGGATGGCAACACGGCCTATAGGATATAAGCACGGAATATAGGATGTTTCATATCAGGACTTCAGGCCTCGCGGCTCTCAGGGAGGCAAACACTTCGCGTTGCTTAGCAACCTGAACGTCTGCCTGCGTTGCTATGGCTACATCCTAAAAGCATTTCGGTTTGTTGAAAACTTCTACAGGCTTGCTCGATTGGAGCCTAATCCTGCAATTTATGGGAATTTTCCCTCGCTTCCCAATGTTTCATTGAATTGAGTGAGTAACATGGATGAAAGATCACCTTGATTTAGATGCATCGCAGATGATGAAATCAAGAAAGTTATCGCGCTGGTGGAGGCGTTTGAAACGATGTCGAATTGTGGCTCGTATGTATCAAACTCAGCTGCACTGTTCCACATATTTATCATTCGCAATAATGCGCACATAAATAAATTCTACGTATTATCTATTAGTGTCATCTGTACAATTCGTCTGTGATGGCAACTGATATCGGTAAAACAAATAGTGTAAATTTAAATATATTCTAAATCGTTTGTAAAGTAAATCCGATCTCTGAAATAACTAAAAAACAATAATACTTTGCTTGATGCTAGTGACAATATTTCACTGTTTGATTCGCGTTACTGAATTTGAAAAAAATGAATTAATGAAATTGTAATCGTGTATCTTATTCATGCTTTAGTAGACTGCACCCAGGAAAGAAATTCATGTTATTATATGTAAAAATAAATTTCATTTCAACTCACCAATAATCAAATTTCAGCATTAAAAGTAATTAAATATCAATATTCAATTTGAATTTTTTCCTAATCCGTATTTAATATTTAATTTCAAAACACGAGTAATTTTTTTATTGCTTTTTTTATGACGATTTTCAACTTTGCATTTAAAGTTAAACCATTTTATAGTTCTTCAATTCACAAGAAAAGTTTGAGTGTTGTGCTTCCTACAAAACACAATGAATATTTATCTTCTTATTGATCGCACACGTACTCAAATTAACCATAATTGGGCATTAAAACATGCCAACCTCAGCCTCATCGTTTGAACCGAAGTTCCAGCGCGGAAAATTTAACAAACAGTTGAGCAAAAATTCAGCCGTCGAGTTTACCTCAAACACGAGACGTAATTTCGGCCTAATTTGCAGGTTTTTTTCTAATTTAAAAGTCATTACCACAGAACAGAGAACTCAACAGACCACTAGACCAGAACAACAGACGACGAAGTCGAACAGGTTTAACACGAAATAAATAAATTAACAGCAGACCAGAACAACAGACGGCGAAGTCGAACAGGTTTACCACGAAATAAATAAATTAACAACAGACCAGAACAACAGACGACGAAGTCAAACAGGTTAACACGAAATAAATAAATTATTCGTTGCGATCAAAGTAATCTAAATTACTGCCCAGACATCTGATTCATTCTGCTGATAAAATACGTAATGATTTACAATTAGTTATTTTCGTAATTTGCGCTGATAAACTTCTTATTCTGCAATGTAAAAAAAATTATGATGTCATTATTGCTTGCTGAGATTAATTGGAATGCCCACCTGACATATTAATATGTTAATTAGATATAATTAAAATTAAAGGCGGATAATTAAATAGGCTAAAGGTTAGTTATTCGTAATATTTTGGTTACTTTATGAATTAAACTCATTTGCTATTTGTCTTTGGTATAAGAGTAATTCACTCGCATGAAATGAATATTATCCAATTTAATTGAATACAAATATAATATATAAAATTTACTGAAAACACTCGTAGTCGACAGTGATCAATAAGAGTAATGTCTTTCATGAAAGGATTCCACGATCATATTAATTTTTTATTATGTTAAATTCAATAATTATTTGAAATTATTTAATAGTTACAGTCATAATGATGTTATTCAAAATTCGCTGCTATCTTGAGAATTCTTAGACGTGAGGAATTCTTATGTTGACTGTAAATTCTGCTTTAAAAGTTACTTTTTATTACAAATGTTATTGATTGGTAAATAAATGTTAGTCTTAGGTATGGCTTTCAAGTACATACATCCTTCATTTGTACATATGCCTAGGTAGTAGGCTGTGTATGACTGTGTCATGGCATTCAGCACATCAGTCGCTAACGGTTAATAATAATATAATAATAATAGCGGCTTCAGCGTTTAGTAGGCCGTAGGCCTGTCGCCGATTCTTAACATCGCAGAACATTCACAGCATTTTGCGGTCTCGAACTCGCAACTCACTGCTACAATTCTGCTATGCTTAACCGCCCGGCCTCCTCGCAGATTCTGACCAGAAACTGGCGCACGGAGCTGGGATCGAACCCACGCCTCTCTGCGCCAATCTTTGTACTCTGAACTTTAACCACTGGGCCACCACTGGGCACAACCACCCTAATGGTAACAATTATCAAAATGTTTTGCAAGCAGCAGAAGTTTAAGTTCTATTTAAGAATTTACGCTCAAGATTGAACAATACTCATAATCAACTGAGATAATTTTCACAGCTGGCAGGGGCTTCGGCACTATTTTCGTTCGAGCAGAGCAAGTTCTTTCAGCCTTCATTGGTTTGACGGGACTAATTGAAAAAAATATAACTCAGTACTCACTGCAGTGAGTGACAGAGAGCGCATTTTCTCAAAATCGACGAAAACGTGAAGTCACGGACAGACGGACGGACGGACGGACGGACATGACGAGCAAAATATGGCATTTTTCCATAAATGAGAAAATGCGCTAAAAATACTGTTTGATGATTTTTACATTTAGTTTCTGTACGAGAGTGCAAGCGATTACATCTTCATGTCAAAAGTTTAGTAGAACGCCATAATTAGAGCACCAACTGTACCTTAAATAACCTGAAGTACCAATTTCATTTTACAAAAGAACGTATTGTAGTAAATATTCAGTCAGATAGTATTGCTGATCTTACGTCGTGCCGGCATGTTTCATAACACGTTAGTCAGACTGTCATTTGTTTTAATGAACGAGTGCTTGGGCATAA